GAGCAAGGCACCCTAAACCCTAAGCCGGGGTAAAATTTGGGGACCTCGGCACTTATGTCCTAAACCACCCTGAAAAACCCTTAAAGGAAACCACCCCCACACGCAAACCGCAACCCTAGAAACCGGGGGGGCGGGGGCGGGCTGGGAGGGAAGGTTCGAGCCAACACAAACACGCCTATGTACGGAAGCATGGGGAGGCGTAAGTGCTTGCAGTGCTCGACTCATTTTGTCGACGATCCATGGGGTCACACCACTGACTGGCGTTATGGTCCTGGGGTGCCTCTGTACATCGACTGCAGGAGCCGCAGGAACGCAGAACTACAAAGGCTGCGAATAGGGATTTCGGACAAGAACAGTGACATGCGAAGGGGATTTCGACTAGAAGAATGGAGTGCCAATGGTGATGTCGCACTGGAAGAGTGGAATGCAGTGGAGAAAGAGCACCTCGCAAACTCACAAGGATTTCTGAACTCCAGCATGCACGTCCAGTACCCTGTACAGATGACCTGACAAGGGATCCAACCCTCACGCTTTTAAACCTTCCGGTAGCAATGTCAACATCCAGAGACGTGGGACTGTGTAACTAACAAGAATAGAAAAACTCAACGTGTCCCCAGCTTGCAACTACTCTTGCCTGCGCATCCCTCGCTCTGCCCATGACCAACGGGCCCACGGGCACACGGGCCCGCCACGGGCTCACGGACCCACGGGCCCACCCCCGAAAAGACCATGGCCGAGAAGGAAAGAAGGGAGGAACCGGCACGCCTATCCTCAGCCTGCTTCGCTAGGTCAACAGGATTAGAGGTCGGCATGTGTAAAGTCATACCGGCACCACAAACAGGTTCAAGACAACCCAACCCTTGGAACCGAAAATCTAAGGTACTAGTCCATGCAAAATCGGCGGGCTAAACGGCTAAGCCCAAAGGCTCAGAACCCCGAAACAGCAAGTCGCTGGGCCTGCAGGTCGTTCTGCACAGTGATCATGAGCCTGACAGCATAGTAAAGAAGAACAGCGTGGTAAAACCCTGCATCCGAAACTTCGGTCCTAAAACCTGCACCCTCAACCTTGAAGACACAACCCACGCAACCGGGCTTTTGGGCACGTTGGGTCTTTGACCACAGGTGCACTGTCGGGCGAGGCTATGTGACCCGTCATTTGGCTTCACGGTGTCTAGGCTTTCAAGGTTTAGGGCTTTACGGCTTTGGGGGGGGCTTAGGGTTGAGGGCTTAGGAGTTTAGGATTTAGGATTGGGGTTTAGGGCTCAAGGTTTAGGCGTTGACGCTTCGAACCCTTGTGGTATAAAGGTGTTTGTTGTGACCACCTCGGACAGAAACCGTGAATCCGAGTCTGCGTAAGCATAGCATCACGACCAACCCTGAGTCCTGAACCCGTGACCCTTGGGGCCCTAAACATCCTGACACACTGCAGATTCAACCGAAACCCTAAACCCTAAACTCTAAAAGCCTAAACCCTAAACCCCAGAACCCTAAACCCTAAACCCCGAAACCCTAAACCCTAAACTCTAAATAATCTCTCAGAAGAAGCGTGCGAAGGCCTAGAAGCTCAAAGAACTCAATCCCGAAGGCCCTGAAAGGTTAGGTCTAGGACTCTAGGACTTTAGGGTTTAGGGGTTTAGGGGTTTAGGGTTTAGGGCTCAGGGCTTAGGGCTTAAAGGGTTAAGGGCTTAGGGTTTAAAGGGCTAGGGGTTTAGGGTTTAAAGGGTTTAGGGTTTAGGGGTTTAGGGTTTAGGGTTGCAGCCGCCTGACCAACAATAATCCAGAGAGCCCAACTAAACTTAAACTGAGGAACAGGCCTGGAATCATTTAGTTCCGGAAAAGACCCGAAGCTCTGCAGGGTTTAGGGTTTAGGGTTGAGGGTTTCCTGGATTCCAGGTTTAAACCCTAAACCCTAAACCCCAAAACCCTAAACCCTAAGCCCCAAAACCCTAAACCCTAAACCCAAAAGCCCTAAACCCCAAACCCTAAACCGGCTCTCCGGGAGGCTGCCTGTCACCGGGCTTCACGATGATCGTTGGGCCGGGGATGGAGTCATTGTAGACCCGCGTCACGAAGCCTGCGTGGTCAGGTTTAGGGTTTAGGGCTTAGGGCTTAGGGTTTGGGGCTTAGGCTTAGAAGGGTCCCTCCTTTGTAAATGTCTAGAGTATAGAAGTTATGTAAGAAAAACAAGCAGACACCGGTAGAATAAGCAGTGCCTACTCTGGGTTCTTGCTAGGGGATTTAGTATAAGTTAACATAATAGAGAAACCATGCTATTTCCTATCGATCGCCAGTATGATAACTTAAGTACAGCCCCTTAACAAGAACCCAATTTTGGTAGGAATACACCGGTAGAGTTTACAGCTTAGGGTTGAGGGCTTTGGGTTTTCTCTTTTGATAAGAAGACAAGTATCCTCCAAGTCTTACAAGTTTCCATCATCGCACGACGAGAACTTGACCTTACAACCAAAACGAAGCGCTGAACTTCTAAACTCAAAGCCTGAGCTTTGGGGATCCGTTTAGGGTTTAGGGCTTAGGGAGTTAGGGTGCACGGCTTAACCGGTTTAACCCCCAAGCCTCAATGGCAGCAACACTCAGGCAGGCGATGATACTGGTAGAAGCAAGAGCAACGAGAGGTGGCATCATGGCTTTGACAACTTATGGAAGCTCTACAAAGCATACCGACTACAGATACTTCGAACGAAGACCCCGAAACTTACGAACCCCGGGCCCTGCAGCAACACCCAACCCCCCCCCCCCGCTGTCGAGGGCAAGGCTGATGTTGGGCCCCACCACCACGCGAGCGGCGCGGGGCCTCCAGTAAACACAAAAATGTGAAATGAATGGTGCTGGGGGCTTGTAGGGTTTAGGGTTTAGGTCGCCTGCGTGAGTGATGGTGGTTCTGCTGCGATGGAGGCTTGCAGGTTAAGCCGGTTAAATCTTACCAGTGGCCCAAAAGACCTACTTTTTTTGACGACAAGGTAACACGAAACCTCAACCCTGAACCCTAAACCCTAAAGCCTGCTTTAATATGGAAACCATTAGGAGGAACCCTAAAGAGGTACCCCTAAACCCCAAGGGCTGGACGTTTTGAGCCCGTCGACCTCGGCTTACGACCAGTTAGTCGCACAGAATTCTTCCCAGATCTTATTTTTTGGAAGAGAGACGGTTTGGAGTTTAGGGTTTAGGCTGCTTCAAGACTGGACAAAGTGGCTCCGAACTGTAAACCCTGCACCCTAAACCCTGAAAAAGGTTTCATGACTTCCTGTGTGTAGTTGTGTCTCCTCGTTCGCTGTGCTGGGGCGGCACTCAAGCTCTAATCTCCAAGCGGTTTCGCTTTAGCCCACATCCTCGATGCTGAGGTAGAAATAGCTTCCTCGAAAGAAAGCAGAAAGCTGACTCCCCGAAGCCCACACCTGCAATCCACATCCTGAACCCTTCAGCGCATTTCGTTTGAGTTGCGCAATCAAGCAATCAACTTTTTCCAGAGAGATTTTGTGTACCCAGCTTGCAGCTTACTTATTATGTGTCATAAGATGCTCTAGATATCACTGTACTGTAATATACTGTAATATTCTTGGACGGAGCACGTCCGTTGTCCCAGGCGCGCTGCCCCACTCTTGGACTCGGCAGTTGCGCGAGAAAGCAAAACACCTGTAACGCGAAGCGCCAGGGCTTTAAGTTTGGGGTTGAGGCTTCCATGGGCCGTGATACATGTTTGCTTCATGGAGTCCTTGTAACATGCTCTATGGATCCCTAAACCCTAAGCAGAGGGACCGCTAGAGCCAGCTCCGGAAGCTTGCGCAGCTTTGTCTCCCAACTTGTGCTCCTTCGTGCTGCCGAAGCCTGGCTCTGCTGTCGTAGCTGTGCTAGCCGTTTCGCATTTTCGCATATTTTCTTAAAACAGCAATGAAGCAATCCCTGTGGCCGCCGCTAGGATGGGCCTTGCTCGGGTGTGACTCGGCCGAGCGCTCGAATGCGTCCATGGTCACGCACATTCACGATGCCTTGATCGCTCGCTCCTCGCAAACCTCCATGGAGCGTGCGAATGCTTCCGACGCGTCTCTTGACACTGTGGCAAATGGAAAAGCCGCTGCTGCCATTGCGGGAACCTTCTCTAACTTGGCCCAGGCAGTCAGCGATGCGGGCAGCATGGCCGCACGGGGATAATTTTTTATATTGGAACTAGTGCGCATTGTTGTTCTTGTTAGAATGATTGTTATTATTACTATTATTATTGTTATGATTGTTATTATCATTATTATTATAACATGCCATTATGCTTATTGCTATTGTTATTGGGCCACGGGGCCCTCAGGATGCCTCTCTCTGCTTTTCCTGACGCCCCCCAGGGAAGACTCTGGGCACCGCCGCCGGCAACGTCTTCTTCGCCGTCGGGAACCGCGTCATCAAAGCTCCAGAGATGAGATTCGACAATCTGGATTCGGAGCTCAAGGACTTGGCCAACGAACTCGGGGACGAAGCCTTGGTGGTGGGCAGTACTCTGCAGGGGGTGGCCCGAACAACAGTCGAGGCAAGGTACAAGTTGGCTTTGCACCTTTTGGCTGCAGCGACGGAAGTCTACAACAAAGCCAAGGAGATTGCCCACCAGGTGGCCCCTAAACCCTCAGCCCCCGAATCCCCGCACCGTAACTTCGGAGAACCTGAACCACCTCTGAGGGTTTTGAGCCCCAAGTTTTTGTCGGGAATCTCGGGGGTTCAAACGGGTGCGCTTGTAATGGCACACTCGCATGCCAGGTAGCGAATGCGGTGAAGAGCTTCGTGAAGTGCATTGCTGAGGACGCCGTGGCAGCAACCGACAAGGAAAAGCGGTGCAAGGCACTGCTTGGCAATATAGGTACCCTAAGTACCCCTATAGCACCCTTATAAGTACCCTTGTAAGTACCCGTATGGTACCCGTATGGTACCCGTATAAGTACCTCAGGCACTGCTTGGCGAGCAATGTGACTGCAGTCTTGAAAATGGCGAGCCGAAGAGCCACCTAAAGGCCACTGGCTCGCCAGCCACCGGACTTGGCGTGGACATGAAGTGCGTTCCGAGCAAGACTTCCGAGTTTGCCAAGGGGCTTGCTGGATTTTTGTTAAGGAACTTGTTTCAGCTTGTGGGAGTAATGTCGGAACACATACATAATTTGCTCTACGCCCTTTGGTGATGTAAGCTTAGTGCAGTAAACCTAAACCCCAAAACCCTAAACCCCAAAGCCCTGAAACCCTAGACCTTATAAAGCCAACGAAGCAAGCGCCCAGGTTTCGTTTGAAAGCCTCTTCTTCAGGAAGCAGTGAGGCCTCCCCGGCGGGAGGAGTGCCCTTGCCAGGAACCGAGGAGACATCCTAAAAGGAATATTCTACTACGATATACTATAATATTCTACCATCATATAACGTGATGTACTATACTATACCATAGGTACTAGACTATACCATAACATACAATAATATATTATAATATCATCAGGGTTGAGGGTTTAGGGTGGGGCGGTTACGGTTCAGGGCGTAGGTGCCCTAATGTAGACCCTGGATAGTAGGATATAGCAGGATTCTCCTGATAAGGACCCTCAAGACGGCACCTCCCAACTTTCAGAACCATCCAGGAGGAAATTTCTTGCAGTGACGTCTCGGCGATGGAGGCCACCGCGACGGACACAAATAAACAAATCAGGACGAGCCCCGCGCAAGCAATGGAAGAAGCTCGGATATTCTTAGATTTCACATTGTCAAGGCGTAGGTGTACGTGTTCTTGATGATTGACGATGTTGGTTTTAGACTTGTCCGGCCTCGTTTTGGACGGAAAAGTAGGGCAACCCAGGCCCTTGCGACACCGCAGCCGAGCGGATCCTGTGAAGGGGATTTGAGCGTGGCCCTCGATGCCGTCGTGACGTTCAACCCAAACCTCATCACGGTGAAGTCAACGGTCAGCGGGACCACCGTCAAGACAGAGGCCTTTGTCGAAGGCTGGGTACGTGCATCGGTGGAAGCCTGGGTGAAGGGAGAAGGCACTTGCTCATATGAAGCTCAGCGGGGTGTTCCCAAGCAGCCCAAGAAGAAGATGATTTGCGCCAAGGGTGTATGCATCCTGGCTTTCTTGAGCCTAGGCACCTTTTCCCCCCTTGTTGCCTGATACTCGCACTGCAACAATCCCTGTAACTTCCAAGGCATCATCTTGGCAATGCAGATGCTTGCGACGCTGAAGCTGGAGGGCACCCTCACAGGAACGGTCACGCAATCCTACGACGTGGACTTCTTCGTGAAAGGCCTGCCTGTGAGCAACGGCTGAGTGAGTGAGCCTAAACCCTAAACCCTAAACTCCTAAACCCTAAACCCTAAACCCTAAACTCCTAAACCCTACGTCCTAAGTTGCCTTTGTGTCAGGCAGAGCCGTGATGAACACTGACACGAATCAGGAGTCGTTGGTCTACGCTGATATCACTGACGTCAAATACAAGGCCAGCCGTGTCTCGCTCTGGGCTTAGGGTTCAGGGTTTAGGGTTTAGGGCCTTAGTGCTGAAAGCAGGAAGGCATCAAAGCCGCGGCGGAGGCAACCGCTTCTTTGCGCGTGAGTGTGGGGCCAAAGTTTGTGGCCGCTCATCCGGTTGATCTTTCAGAAGTTTGATATAGTATAATATACTGTAGTATACTATAATGGACGGTGTCCTGCACTGGCCATCCGATGCTGTGCCGACGTGCCGAGAGAATGAGGTCTGGCCCACGCCGGGTCTTCCGGTGACCTTCTTCCCCCAGGTCCATGCGCACGCAGAGGCCGTGGGCAGGATCGAGTATCCCCAAGGCGGCGGGGATCGTCGCGGCCGCAGGCGGCTGGACCGCCCTGGCCTGACGAGAGAATGTAGCACCACTCAGCCTCGTGGGGGAATGTGCGATCCCGCAGGACGGTGCACCCAAAGCAAAGCTCAACATGTGCCATGCAGCAGCCGGGACCCCAGGCACCTGCATGCCGGCGTCGCTCAAGCTTGCTTAGTTCAGGGAAGGGTGATCTGTTCCGCTGATCATCCGGCCAGTCCCTGTGTGCTAGGCGCGTGCTTGGTCCACTGTCATGAATTCCCACGCCGCCTCGATGAGGTCCTGAGCATCTACGCAGACCTGGGCATCACCGGCTTCGCCCTACCTCCTCCATTGGAGGACTTGCTGGACGGTGACATGGTCAAAGCAATGCTGAAAGAAGCCATCAAGGAAGGCGCAGAGAAGGCCTTCGGCCCCGGCGCCAGCCAGGTCGCGAACTGTGTGCCGGGTGCAGGCGCCTTGGCCGACAGAATTGCCAGCAAACTCGCGACTCTGCTGGCGAGCGCTCTTACGGCGCTGCAGCTCCCATGGCAGTTGCAGATGGTCGAGCTTTTGAGCTCGGACAAGCTGTTCTGCGAGGAGCCGTGGAAGACGGACGGCTTCGAGCAGTCTCCCTGCGCGGAGGAGATTGGTTGCAGCGGCGCTGGACTTTTAAGTCTCCCAGAGCCTGGCGTCATGGAGCCCCGGGCTCTTGTTAGGGAGTCTAATTCAAGTGACCATGTTAGGGGTCCATAGTAAATAACAGGGTTTCCTTGTTATGGTAACTTTAGCAGCTAACTTCCCTGACAAGAACCCCAGGAGATGCCACCGGAAGTCTCGACGACCTCGACCACCACGGCTGGGCAGAGTGTTGCGAAGGAGCAGTGCAACCATCGCGGAACGCATATTGCCTTCGGAGACCGCTTCCTTGAGATGGGGAGCTTCCGCATTGCTGACCACGATGGGGACCACCTCACGATCACGCACAGGGACCCGGGGTCTTCTCCCGGGGTGTAGGTCCAGTGTAGCTGCTGCCTTCGAGTTTAAGTCCCCCCGAACTGGCCTGCAGAGCATCTGACCAGGACCACTCCAAGGCAATCATGATTCTGGGCAGAACCTGGTCTCAGGCCAACGAGCATTCGAATCAGCTCGATGATGCCAAATGGAAGAACGAGGCCTGGGGCAGGCGTGGACCAGGGAGTAGAGTGGGCTGTGGTCCAGTAGTACGATCCTCCGGAGTTCACGAATGCTGCCGGGAGGTCCAAAGGAATCGAACACGTGAAAGGCAGCGTCAAGATGGGTTTCCAGTTCATCCAGATTGGCAACTTCCGCTTGGGTGCGGACGACTGGTGCCTCATGGTTTCGTAGCCGTGGCTGCAAGGCTCTTCATGAAAGCTTGTAGGGCTGCGTGGCCGTGCGTGCATGCAGGCCGCCTTCCAGCAAGGGGGCACTGAAGTCTGCAAACGCCACCTTCCTCGTCGGCTGAGGCACATGGACCCCACTACCAGGGGGGTCCTTCGGGAGTGGAAGCACGACGGATCAACTTGGAACGCAGCAGACACCTGGCAGGTCCGTCAGGACTTTGTATTTTGCCATAGTTTCCGTGACACAAGACTCGGCCAAAATCACCAGGCCCCTCAAGACCAAGCCTCCACACAGCCCATTTTTTGTCCGGCCCCCTCCCTGTCTGCGGCGGACAAGGATCGGACCCTGAGGGACCGCGAGGAGGGGCCCCCGACAGGCATCAGCGTTGGATGGGCGCATCCCGGCTGCAAAGTCTAGAAAACCTAAACCTTAAACCCGACACCCTAAACCTTAAACCCGACATCCTAAACCTTAAACCCGACACCCTAATCCCTAAACCCTANNCCCCCCCCCCCAAATAAAAAAAAGGGTTCGGCTTAATTAATCTGGGATCCGTGACCCCCTGGACCAAGGTTCGGTAGATTGGGGGCTCTTGGGTTGGCTTGGGGTCTAAGTTAGAAGGGAAGTGGGGGATTCCAAGGTTTGTGGGCTGGCTTGGGGTCTGGATGGCTTTGATTTAGGTAGAAGGGAATTGGGGGATCCCAGGGTTTGTGGCTGGCTTGGGTGGAGGGTCTGCGGTTCTCCGCGGATGCCCGGGTCGGGGTCGGGATAACCCAAAGCTCGAAACCAAGCCCCGATCACTCCCAGATAACTACCATCACTAAAATCCTTTCATTTTGAAGATTTTTCCCTCCAGCCTACACTCCCTTCCACAATCGACGAAAACTGAGGCCTGGTGCGTACAGTAGTACAGTAGCAGTACAGTAGTACCGTAATGTAGTAGTAGTACCCTACACGCCTTTGTTTGATCGTGGGTCCGACTGCCCAGGATCATCAAAGATAGGTACCAAGACCTCAGATTGTCACTCCAGCGCAACAGAGTCCGATGAGTGCACTCGCCAAAAGATTTCCTCTGTAGAGTTCAGATAGGGCCTTTGCAGACTCCGAGGGGAAAGCTGTATGTACCGAGCTTCAAGACACGTGTCAAAGCAATGGTATCTTGTAAATGATATATATACATATACATATATATATATATATCTATCTGTATCGAATACGTGTACGTACATATATATATATATATACATAGATATATATGTTTTATGTATGTATGTGCGTATGCAAGGAAACACGTGAGATCTAATGTAATATTCAGATCATGTTCTCCTGCACGTCGCCACGCCACTAAAACTAGTAACTAGTTTCACCGCTTCCGTGTCATTGCCTTGACCCCGCACACGAGCAAATCCAAGGCTACCTAGACGCATGACGTCCTGTGTTTTACAGCACTTCCCGTCTTCTCAACACATTAGCTTCTAATTCAAGCAAAAAGAAGCACACGATCAATTATCATCCTGCTGCGTCATAAAACAAGTAGTTTCCCCGGAACTCTGGCCCTCATTAGTTCGCACCATGAAATGGCCTATGACACGAAAGTGCTGTAAAATACAGTACTAAAGCTACTTTCCGAAAACATCACCAAGCCCGAAAACAATGCGATCAATTAGCAGCGCGGCGCCTAGTAGTACTAGTACTAGTACTAGTACTAGTACTAGTACTAGTACTCGTAGTAGTAGTAGTAGTAGTAGTAGTATTAGTACTAGAACTAGTACTAGTACTAGTACTAGTACTAGTACTAGTACTAGTACTAGTACTGGTACTAGTACTAGTACTAGTAAGTAGTAACTAGCAACTAGTAACTAGTAACTAGTAACTAGTAACTAGTAACTAGTAACTAGTAACTAGTACGCTGTGCTGTGTCACACTATGTCAGGCGTTTGGAATGCCATGATATTAGCCTGTAGTAGCACTTAGTAATCGAAGCTGGCCTGGCAGTGGGAATCACACAAGTCTGCCACGATTCCAGAACTGCCCATGCAGTACTCAGGCAGGGCACCCGGAGCGGAGACATCGTATGGTCGGAAGCGCAGTTCTTCCACCATTTGTGCAGCTTACCCCTGCCGTTACGCAGGCAGTGCTGACAAAATCTGCGCTGCTGCGTAAAAAGATCCTCAGCATTGTTCCCGCAGTCGTGGGCCAAGCTGAGCAATCCGTAAAGACCTCAAGAGCTTAAACCTGCCGCGGGCAGGCTGCCTGAAGTTGTGGATTCCTTGCTGGCTCAGGGTGGAAGAGCTCTTGGTGCGTCAGTCCTTGGCTCCACCTACGAATGGCAGGGCTCTTGAAATTTCGATTGCAGGAAGGCACAGGGGTCATCTAATGCGCTGACATGCTGAGGCGCATGCACTCCCTCCCGGATGTCTTCTCCGACTGCAACTGGCCAAAGGTCACAACCCATTGCAAGCTCGTAAACGGGACCCACTTGGTACGCTGTGGACTATCTGACTATCACTTGGCCGAAGGCATCTCACAACAATTACGGAATTCATCACTTGCTGGAACCTTGTCGTGTTGCCACCGCAGGGCGAGAGATGCATTGCTGTAAATCCACATCTCATTATGTTTGCTTCAGCAGATGCTGAGGCCAGGAGGAGGGAGCCACCATGATCGACTTCTCAGAAGCGTGCGGCACAGACTTTCTGAAAAGCTCCGAAGGCAAAGACAGCCGGGAAAGTGCTGCGGCACAAGCCGATTGGGTACTTTGAGTAAGCGAATTTCGGATCCAGGAACTCTGACGTCTTTTGTTTCACGTATTGGGTTCTTAGGCCCAGCCGACAAGCGGACGCAGCCCAGCTGCACCAGTTCGCTGCTCGTGAATGCTTCAATGGCTGATGCGCCCTTCATGAACGAGGCATCATCCCATCCTTCCGAGTTCGGAATATTATTCCTTCCCAAGTCTGGTGCCGAGATGAGAAAGTTGCGTCCTTTTACTTTCTTGTACTGCGACGCACTTAGGGGCGAAGCGCTTCCCCGGAACGCATGCCAACGGCGAGTTGAACCCGGAAGAGGCTTCCGGCTTTGGAAATCCTGTCCGTCCCATTCAGTATTAGGCTACACTGGAGCACTTTCCGATTTTCTTATGTATGCTTATGCACCGTTCTGACAGGTGCAGAAGCGGGCCGTTCCCGGGTGCCAGCCTCAACCGCAGAAGTCAAGTATTTACGCTCCCTCTCCACAGTGTCGCTTGCCCGACGTTTGTCGGAGTAAAGTCGTAGAACCTGCGCTGCAGGCCAGGCACATACATGAAGTCGATCCCTGGTGGCTCAGCACTCGTCTTGGAAATTGGGGTAGCCTGGTTACACTGTCCTCGGAGTATCCGAGAAAGCATGCGAGAAGTTGGGCACAAGGCCTTCTCGGTGGATGGTGGTGAGAGCGCTGGAGCCCAAGAAGCTCTGAGGAGTGTCTGCAGATTGCAGCAGCTCTGAGAATGCAGAGGTGATCCTGGGCGCAAACCACACCTATCCATGGAAGAAGTCACTGGGCAGACAGACCGGCGCTGAGCACAGTCGCGGAAGCTTGCAGCAAATGTTCACTCACGGCCCCCAGGATAAATCCCATTGAGTCCGACGCCACAAGCCTCCTGTCTGCACCGTGCACTCCTCAGCTTGACAAGAACTCTGGGATCTCGGACCACAGCATCCTAAGCCCTAAGCATGCCATATGCCTGCATCAGCCGCAGGTGTTTCACATTCCCAAAGACTCGACGAACTGTTTCCGACACCACTGCCGGACACGGTCTGCAGGAGCTGACGCGGTAGCAATGGGGGCGGCCACGGGCCACATGGGGCCCGTCTTTCTTGGCAGGATGGCGGCCCTGTGAAGACGGACACCGGCTGCCTGTCACCAGGTCTGCAGAATGCAGCGTGCTCATTATGCAGATGGCAGCTGGCCAGGATTCGTGTACGAACTCCACTCTACGATGCGTCCGCTATATGGCCAACGCACGCTAGATGGCACTCAGTCCTGCGTCAGGACTTTCTTGTGATGTGGCACCAATGAATACAGTGATCTGACGGCCATGTATTCGTACCTGAGAGAACGGCATGCTCACGCCCTCATAGCCTGCCCCACCAACTCGACTTTTGCAAGGAGGAAGATCCGCCAGCGGCTGAAGGATGGCCACGTTAAGAAACGCGTGCGCTGCATTCCGATGCCTTTGGAGGCGATACTTGCATGCGTTTCTATAAGTTGCACATGATGCAGCAAAGGTCGCACTGAAGGCTAGAGGCCTCTACTTAGGCCAGAACTGTGTGCGAGGCACCAGTGGATCCGGAGTGAGTGTTTCACCGTTTCACCTGACCGTTTCTGTGAAGCCGATTCGACTTCGCTGTTCTGCCCGTTTCCTTCGGTGGACGCCATATAATATACTCGCCAGAAAGAACTTCGAGCGTTTCGTTCGGGCATCGGTGGCTACCTGCACAGCACCGGAAATTTCAACACCCCAAAGGGGAAGACTTTAGGGTGCAGCGCTCTGGAATTTCACAGAGCCAGACGGCTTCGCTACCGGAGAAAATGGAGCTAAAAATATGTCAAGCGTTTTCGGCAATGGGATGTTCGAATTATTATCACATCGAAGAGCCCTGTACCGGACCGCTTTGACAAGGACTGTGCCGCAACCGCTTGGGTTCAGAATTCATTCAGCAGCATGCCGGCCATCACCGTCCAAACCAGCCCGGTGCTTCTTTGCATGCTCAGCCCACCGTAGTTGAGAAGCAGCAAAAAGCCTCGAACGGATCAGTGAAAATTGTGAAGCACGAAGTCTGGCGGCCGAAAGCCATGCCGGATGCCCCGGAGGCAGCCTAGAGACACTGGTGAAGTTTTCTGTTGTTTCCGGCTAACCGCATGACATGTGCAGAGCAGGAGCCTTCGGAGTCACCAGAGCCATCCGGCGAAGTGGCCTCAGGGCAACACCCCTGTCATGACGCCTGGGCCCCAGACCCTGGGCCCTGGACATCCTTTGGCTCTTCTTTGCACTTTCATCGGAAAGCAACACTTTCACAGATGCCACCCAATTGTCCACTTTACAAGCTAGCGAGGCGAAAAGGGCGTGCCGTATGGCACACGGGCCACAGTATAGGAAAGCAGCGCATAGCAGCGCCATCTCGAACAAAGGGGTCGAAGGTGCTGAAGTGATGGGGTTGCAGGGGGTGTATTTTCAACCTGGCAAATAAAGTGCGCGCTGATCCTGTGGCTCACTGCCAGTCGTCACAGACTGTCACAGACTCGGACGTGCACCGAGGCGAGCGTTCGCTGCCGCTTCATGTCCCGAAGGGAGAAGGGAGACATAGGGAGAGAGAGAGAGCACGTTGCCAACCCAGACCCAGGAAGCCATGCTCGAGACAGCTTTCCTCATCGAGACAGGGCAAGCACACAGGGTGGCTTGGACAGGGGGGCGCAACCCCTTCGACATGACCTCCGCCCCAACCCAGACGGAACCCCCTACGCCACCACAGCTCGCACGGGGATCCACACCCCCCCGCCCCACCGCAGGCCCCGAGCAGCAGCAGCAAGCAGAGGAGGAGGAGCCAACAGCCAAGCACAGTCGCACCGGAACAGCAGCACAGCATGAGGAGCCAACAGCCAAGCGCAGCCGCACCGGAACAGCGGCACAGCAACATGACCCGGAGCCGTCACCGTACATGGTCCTAAAGGCCCAGCAGCTGATCACACAACTCATGCCCACCCTTGTGGGCGACCAAGTCCCTATTGCGGCTGACGCGCTAAACCAGCTGCAGCTGTGGACACAGGGGCTTTGGGGGCACCCAATACAGCTCGTGCAAGACTCAGCCACAGACTCCGGGGACACGACAGCTGCCACGGTGCCCATGGAACCCACCACCACTGGGAGCAGGCCACGGGGGACAGAGCTAGGGAGACCAGCGGGCGAGCAGTTACAAGGGGAGGTCCCCCTCAGTTTGGGCGAAGAAGATATGCCGTGGACTGAAACCGAAGATGAAATGTGGCACATAGCGCGGAGAAGACGAAGTGCGACAAGAAGTGACCCGGCAACGCAACCCGTAGTGGAAGAAGATAGCGGGGACCCCGGCAGCGAAGCTGCGTCCCGCACGTCACACAGACGGCGCAGATTTCATGCAGCTATGTCTGATGACTACGGTGTAGTTTTAACTGTGACCAGGCCCCTGTTGTCTACTAGTGCCAACGGTGTGTTTTGTCATGCTGCAGCTGCGCACGCCAAGTAGGGGACGCCTGCAAAACAGCATCATCACCACCACCACACGGGAGCAGGGGCCTCAGTGTTGTCATGTTCCCCTAGTGTCGAGTAGGTTACCTGGCCCCGTGCTTCCTGACCCCAGGATCCCTGCTCCTACCACAGCACACCACCACCAGCGCAAGTACCCCAAAAGTGTGTTGCGTTCCCCTATGTCTTGCTTTTAGTACCCTGCGCTGACAACAAAAAACTTAAGCCACAAACCATAACAAGGAGAAGAACTGTAGCCACACAAAAAAGCGGACCCCATCGAAGTTGTCTACGGTACTCTTGTAGCCCAGTTTGGTATGTTCTGTACTTTCCGCCGAATAGGGGACCCCGGCCAGCACCCAAGCTGCCAACACCCCGGCAATAGACACAAGCTTGAGGGTAACACGCAGAGAGGGGATCGGTGCCAACGAAGTGGATCGGGCGGGTTATAGCTAAGCATAGGCTGGGATTTGGGGGGCCAAGGGGACATCGTTGAAGCCGAACCCTCATGTAGTTTCACACCAACAAACCAGACGTGGACTCAGGCGTAGCGCGAGAGCGCAGGGCGAGGGGTCTGAGGGCCAATTGCCCAAACGCCCCGCAAGCAAGCAAGCAAGCAAGCACGTTGCCGTGTCCTTGTGGGTACAGAAATGGAACAGAACCTCCCCACTGTGGACTTCAGTGTTTGCACTCCTACCGGGGGACCATCAGGCCCCCGAGCACCTGCAATTTGCAGAATAAACAACTTAATGCAGGGGGATCCGGCCTGTAACTAAGTGCTTGATGTTACTCAAAACGGCGGATAGGTGACGTCTTCATCCGGCTGCATGTGTCCTGGTGAGCATACGATCATCATCTTTTCGTCATCGTATTGTGTATGGCCTTAGCTTCATGATGGTTTATGTTGTTTCGTCACTCTCCTACAGGTAGGTGTGTTAAGTCGTCCCGCGTTGTGTAAAGCCGACCCGCAGCGGCGTGACCTTGGGTGTTCTCACTGAAAACAGATATGCACCCCAGCCTGGAGACATGGTTAGTGGTCAGACCCTGGCGGCGTGAACATAGGCATTCCTGTTGAAAGCCTTTGTCGATTCCATGCCTGGAGATATGCAAAACGGTCAACCCACCATATACCTCGACCCAGCTGGGCCATATGCAAGAACCATGAAACAATCCAGTACAGTGCGCGGTCTTTCCTTGAGCTTGGTTATGTTGCGATGCCACTAGTGTCTCGAGTTGGTGCTGGCGTACTCCAGCGTCTACAAGGGGAATGGCTGGTGTTGATTTGCTGTTTGCTGCGATGCCACTATGTTTCTCGAGCTGGTGCTTGCGAAATCGAGCGTCTACATGGGCAATGGCTGGTTTTGATCGTCTGCCGCTGATGTGGTTCTTGAGCGGGTGCCTTCCGAAATCGAGCGTCCACATGGGGAGTGGCTGGTTTTGATCGTCTGCCGCTGATGTGTTTCTTGAGCGGGTGCTTGCGAAATCGAGCATGGCTGGTTTTGATTTGCTGCCACTGATATGTTTCGCACATCGGGCCATCCCCTTGAAACCTAGCGTGTACTTTGGGATTCCCAAATCTTTTCACTTCGATTCTTTGCTCTATGGCTGTAGTTTTTGTGGAGAGTGTCGCATTTCGTATCGATTTTGCACATCGGGCCATCCCCTTGAAACCTAGCGTGTACTTGGGGATTCCCAGATCTTTTCACTTCGATTCGTGGCTCTATGGCTTTAGTTTTTGTGGAGAGTGTCGCATTTCGCATCGAATTTACACATCGGGCCATCCCCTTGAAACCTAGCGTGTACCTGGGGATTCCTAATCTATGGGTCGATTTTTTGCGGGTGGGTCGACTTCACACGAATCGAAGCGTGTACATGGGGGTGGGTCGACTTCACGCAGGATGGGTCGACTTAACCCCGGAACATCGGGTGGGCTTGAAGCTGGGGGGCTTTGAAAGGCCCCCATGCACGGGAGGGAGGGAGAGAGAGAGAGAGAGAGAGAGAGAGAGCACGGTCCTCCCGAGCTCTTCGCAGACAGGGGTGACGAGATACACCTCCGCAGCTACCCATACGGCGTCTGGGCTGGAGTGGTCATGGTGCAACACTCACGCAGAGCACCTGACTACAGCGATACCCAAAGAGGCTACTTCCGAGCGCGCCTCAACCGGCGACAGGGAGGGGGGGACCCCCCGGGACACATGGCGGTGGGGACGGCCTTCGCTTTATTCCCTTGGGGGGCCATCACCAACGGCAAGCCAGTCAAGTGGCTACTAATTACACATCACCTCTACACCCTCGCAGCCAGACTCTGAAGCAACAGAGCTGCCGGTGGGGACAAGCTACACGTTGGAGCGGCGGCGAGGGGGGGAAACCTGGGAACTCGGCAGACTCCAGCCGAAGCTCGCACTCCAATATTTCTACGATTGGGGAAATATGAGAAGCACTGGAGCAATTTATTGGGGGCTGCCCCGCACCTGGGCATTCCCACCCATCCACTGAAAACAGCTCACAGCCAGTCAGCCAGGCTCATCCCCTCCCCGAACGTAGCACGGCAGCCCGCGCAAAACCCCACATTCGAGCATGTGGAGGGGGATCGAACACAACAGCAACCCACCACCTACCCACAGCCGGGACCAGGCCCACCACCTGCACAGCGGCAGCAGCAGCGAAGGCGCATGACAGCGGAGGCACACAGCGCAGAGGAGAACGACCAGCAGCTACCCACCACGCACCAGCAGCCGGGACCCAGCCCGTCACCTGCGCAGCAACAGCAGCAAAGCATGCCAAAAGCAACAAGACGAAGCAGAACAGAAGAGAACGACAAGCAGACAGAGGAGGGGGACGAGGCACACATGATGCAGCGTACCCAGCTCGACGATAGTGTAGCCTCCTCCAGCCATGGTGGTCCGATGTTCCGGAGGCCACAACCGCAACGCATGCCCAACTCAGCAGCGATGGTGCGACACTGGCTCATGGAGCTAGCAGCGCTCCTCCAGCAACGGCGTGTGGGGGACAACATCCCTCTCCTACTGGAATAAGCTTCGCAGGCTGTGGGACAAAGCAGAGGGGACCCGGAAACCTGCGAGAACGGTACCATTGCAGAAGGGCCCGTGAAGAAGCGGAGAATCATGAACTCCCTGTCGGTGGCGCGGATGAGTCTCCAGGACCTTACAGAAGAGGACGACATGGATGGCCTCAACCAACACCAAATACGACAAGACCTGGAACAAGCTGCTTACGACCTGGCCGTGGGGGAGAAGTTGCTACAATACGCTACCCTCAACCAGTGGGGGCATCAAGTACAACAGGGCTTTCAAGGGCTCGCACAGGCCCAAGCCGCCGTGCAAACCGCGTTGGCAGCTACAGTGGAGGGAGACTTAGATTGGCATGTACCTGGCTTGGGGCAGGCTGTTGTCATGCTGCTGGAGGATGCAGAAGCAGTCTTGGAAGAGGAAGGACAACTCGACTTTGTCCACCCCGCAGACGTCGCCGCTCTGTCAGAGGGGGCCGAAGAAGCTCCACCGCTCAGACAGGGGGACCTACTCCAACAAATCGACAAGCTTCTCCGGGATATCGGCGGGGTCATGAACTTCCAGAGGACATGAACAAATACGACAGCTCATCGCGGCCGTGACGGTGTGGAGCACAGCCGAAAGACAGCGAGAGGTGGTGGAAGTCAACACGCAGACCACGGATGGGGGAGGCGAAGCGCAGTTGGAGCCTGACGACACCCAGCCATGGCGACCGCCCTTGGATGCAGAGCAGTGGTCGGGGACGATCCCGTCGTCAGCGCATGAGGAGGACACGCAAACCAGCGAGCCGGGCTACCCAACCGAAGCGGACTTATTGGACGCGCTAGAGGAGTACGAGAGGCAAGAACAACAAGAAGCACTTGAAGCAGCCAGAGCGGGGGATGCGGTGCCACCAGCTGAAGAGGGGAGCGGTAGTGAAAGCAGTCATCGCCGAAGGCGGTTTGTAGCAGCAGCTGAGGCAGGGTAACTGAACTAAGTGTGGGGGTCTACGGTTGGCTTGCTGTGAGGTGTTAGATTGTCGTGTCATGTTAGGAAGGTCGGAGCCTCAGAATGTGCAGTGCCCTAAGTGCTCTCTGTGTACAGGTGCAAACATGTCATGCAGTTGTAGCCCGGGGGATCCTGTGATGTATGTGAGGGGGGCATGGTGTTGTTTTGTGACAACATCCGCGGGAGCAACAGAAGCAGGCATAGGGGGCACTAGGGCATTGACTGTCTAGGCAGTGACGAAACATGCAGCTGTGACCCGGAGAAGTCCTGTGATAGTGCAAGTGGAATGTTGTCGTGTGTGTTCTTATTGAAAGAGGCTTCGGGGACAGCAGAGGCATGAGTAGGGAGCACCGGTGAGAAGTGGAAGTGAATCCTGCATCAGTTTATGTAGGCGAGTGTGAGTGAGTGTGCTTGTGTCCTGTTGACTGTTCCCGCCAGAACTGCTCCAGTTGTGAATCGTACAACAAGCTGCGAGAGGGGGGGCAGAACCGGTGTCAGCCCAATGATGAGGCCAGGGGGTGGTTACCTAGTGTTAAGGGTTGAGGTGTTAAGAGTTTGATTCCCTTGGGCCGCATCGAACAGAAGTGTCACACAGAGACCTGGACGTGCAGTGCGCGCTTGCGTGCGGGGGGGAGCGACTGCTCTTCCTTTGGCTGTGTGGAAGAAGAGAGAGCGCGGATGGCAAAGAGCACGGATGGGGAGAAACGCCTGCCTGCAAAGAGTGAAGCGCCGCCTGAGTCTCGACTTGATGCCCTGTACTATAAGCACCGTAGAAGCCGGTCCCTGGATCGAGATGATTAGGTGGGGCACATTGAACTGGTTCAGGTCATGTGGATTGCTTCTTGAATTTTTGGGCAAAATCAAAATCCAGGCACCGACCACAAAGGAGCAACGCCTCCGGGTAGCGCCACCACCACAAGGGGCGGCCTCAGTAACTAGTAAGAGGGGGCAGCTGGAGTCCTGTTTCCCTGAGGTCTTGGTGGAGTACAGTACTATCACCGCGTGGTTGTTGTTCTTGCGGGAATCCAAGCCCTGTAGTCACTGTAGTAGCTAGAACTTTTTTGATGGGGGCAAAGTAGCAACGAAAAGGGCAGAGAGAGCAAGGAGTTGAGCCAGGTTGTGATGCAATTGAGATGTTACATGTTACTTTGTTGTGCCCAAACGGCAACTCGTTGGGCCATGTAGTGACAAAGCCTCCTCGAGCGCCCCATGTAACGGTGCACTAGCCTGTCACTTAGGTGCCGTGTGAATTTGTACCAGCTGTTGTTGATTTGTTGTTGAGTTCTTGCAAGCAGGGCCAAGCAGCTAGCGAAGAATGGAACAAGAGGGGAGAGCGAAACCTTGGCCCCCGTCTTTGTATGATGTATCTTCCAAAGTTGTTGCTTGCTTCCCGGATTCCAGTTCACTCCTCTCGTGGTCGGGGCGGTAAAGCCTAGATTTTTAAGTTTCCATTCAATCCACTTCAAGACGGAGTGCGGGGGAGGAGAAATCCTCCCCTCAGGCCCAAAGAAAGAAGGATAGAGAGAGAGAGAGAGAGCCGTTGCTCCACTCGAGGGTGGATTCCCCAGATGCGACATATTTTCGGGGGAAACGTTTTCCTGATAATGGTGTCGAGGTCTATGGGGTTGCCCTTAGTTTTGCAGTGAAGAAGTGGGGACACAGTCGCATACGGTAGTACACTACAGGAGGAGAGGGGGTTGCTGCAGTCATTAGGCCATTAGGGATCTTGCCGTAGCGGGCGCGGTGACGAGGCCAGTTTTAGTTTCAAGGGGGGCTCCGCAGCAACTTTACACTCCCGTTCGTACAGACCTCAGGGGCGAATGCCGCCTTCGACACCCCAAGGCCTTCTCTCACAACTCAAACCGGGGGGGGGTGTGGGGGCGCCTATGCGCGGGTTAGCGACGCTAGCCCGAACCCAATGGAAGGAAGGAAGGAAGGAAGAGAGAGAGAGCCGAGCCCAACCATATTTTGGATGGGGTGCTCTGACGAGCGGGGCGTTGGATCTGCTAGTTCCCCTTACCCCGGAGCAAAGCAGAGAGAGAGAGAGAGAGTGTCCCAAAGAACAGTGTACTGGGCTAGATATCTGGGGCCCCAGTTACTCCTCCCAAAAGCCCCATGAAATGTGGGGGGTTGATTTTCGGCCGGGGCTTTCCTGACCCCACACCCCAAGCAAGCAAGCAAGAGGCTGAGAGAGCCGTAGCACCAGCCGGGGGAAGGAGATCTTGATGCTTATCCGGTTAAATTACATACGTGATTTTTGGGTGAGATCTGCTGTCCGGTCCGGCCTCGTACAGCCGAGCCTTCCGGGGGAAAGCCCCACGGGGAACACTTTGCCCCGCCAAAAGATGCGGGTGTGTCAACTCGCCTCGCACGGCGGTCGCAGTCGGACCACTGCTGCCGTCACGCCCTGAGAAAGAGAGAGAGATAGCACCTTGGAAAGCACCGAAACCAACGAAGAAGAGGAGGGCCCCTGGAGGCCGTAGGATTTCGGCCCCAAGCCCAGCAGAAGAGATTTAGTGTGCATCACGGGGGACGATTCTGGCGTACTTTGCTTCCCTGAGGGCTTTCCTGAAACGCTTCCAGAGGGAGTCTCAGTGAGCAATGTCGGTATCTTGACTTTTCCACGGGCATGCATGAAAATCGCATTACACCGACAAAGCTGACACAGGTATTTCGGTATACAGTACTAAGAAGGCACTTCAGCACTGTTCTGGCTATTTTCATCTGCAGAATCGTCGTTGCACGTTTCCAATTTGCACCGCTGACCCGCAAGAAAGAAGTCCCCGCCTTTCTGTCCATAAAGCGGGAAATTCGGGAGGGGCCGGGCAGAACGAAACGAAGCCGAAGTCCGCCTCCGACCCATCGGGTGGCTAAGTCTTGTGACCCCAACGCCAGCATGCAGGAAACGTGAACCACGAATACTTCTTCACTGCCTCGAGGCAGATGGCGACATAACGAAGTCCCCCAAAGGGGAAGTGGAGCTGCATAGGCCGGACGAGTCACGCGTCAGCTGCCCAAAAAGCGAACGAGCGCAAGCCCCACTGCAGGTCCTTTTCAGCCATCAACGAAGAATCCGGCACCGCCTGGGGTGGTGGCGAAGAGGAGACTCCGGCACATGCTTGTTCTCTTCATCAGCACTTGTGGATCGCTGAAAGGGCCTGACCATCAAAGTCGGTCTTCTGGGAGTGGACCTGGAAAACCTGCGGGAGGAGCAGACCTCTGGAGAAACGTTTCGTCTCAGACTTGCCTGGACGCTCAGTAACTCAGGGCTGCCAGCGCTTGGCCTGCGAATCAGAAGAGATCGTGCAGGCAAGGGCGGACAGCTGGAGGATTGCTCTTTTCGTGCGATCTTGCAGGCTATCTTCGAGCGTCTTGGCATCTTGCACTGTCGTACTTCCCGAATAGAGACAGCCTTGGGACTGCCGCCAGAGCCTGAAACTGACGTGGCGACAAGTTCTAAACCTTTGGTAGCAGACATGCCTTCGGCATCCGAGAAGCCATGGCCGTGTCTACCTTAGCGTTTCTGAAATTGTCTGTCAAGAGGCCATGGCAGCCTCCAGAAGACAGTGATGAGGCCGAAATGAGGACGCTCACGCAGATCAGCGCAGGTCTCCATGTCCATGTGCAACACAGCCAGCGCTAGGACAGCACAGACGGATGATGAGAACGTAGACGATGCAAAAGGTGCAATGTTCCCAACACGATCAACAATGATCTGCAGCGCGTCGATAGAGAGTGCAGACAGGTGCCAGCCTTCCACGGTGCCTGCGAGGGCATGCGCTGGTGCAAGGATCCCAGGAAGAAAACTTTAAGAATCTAGGCTATGACAACATTTTGCCTTGTGTGGTCTTCCACTTGCCTGCCGTGTCGTGGAAATCCAGACAAGGCCGGATGAAGAAGGTGCGGAGGGGCCACCGAAGCAGTGTGCCTTCTGCAAGAACCGGAGGCACCACAGTGACAAGACCCCTATTGGCGTGATCAACAGCAGTGCCTGCAGGCCAACACAGTTTCGATGCAGCGAGGGATGCTACTTCCATGCATGCCAGGACGTCTTAGTGCAGAGTGTAGCGGTGCAGAGTGCGGATCCGCCTCACCGATGCCGTGGCTTTCCATTCGGTGCTAGGATTGCGTGCTCGGAGCGCCGGAAGGTGCAGGCCATCAGATGCCCCGGCTGCAAAAAACGCAAGTCGTCTCCGCTGCGTGATTGGAAGGAAACTTCAGTTATGAACGATTAAGTGTGGTACTGCTTTTAGTGCCCCTCCCTCATCAGCCATTGGTCCCTGGCCTGAAAAATACATTACCCGTACCCTTCTTGACCAAGATTCGGGGGCTTGGGTTGGCTTGGGGCCTGGGTGAGCTTGGCTAACTTCAAGGTTTTGGGGGGTCCTAGGGCCTAGGGGGTTTGGCACGGTGGTTGCAAGTAGAATGAGAAGGGTTTACGTAGGAGGGTTGAGTAGGTTTCGGGGCTTAAGTAGAAGGGCTTTGGACAGTTCGGTAGCTTTCGGGGGGGCTTGAGCTGGTTTCCTTAGCTAGAAGGGCTTGTTTAGGAGGGTTGTTTTTTAGGTTTCGGGATCTTGTTGTCCAACTTAATTTTAGGGTTTCGGAGCCGTTAGGGCTTCAGTTTTTTTGGTCGAGGGTTGGGATTTTGGAGGGTGCCTGAAGATTGACCATGTGCAGAAAGGAGAAAAGAAAAGCCGCCGGGCCAAAAAAACAAGCATCAAACATCGCCAGAAAATTCACAAAAACCGATGAATAAATAAGCAAAGCACGCATTAAAGATTCCCACTTATCCAAAAGCAGTGCCACATTAATGGAAGGCTTCTTGTCTTAAAGCAAAGCTAACGAATGCTTCAATAGAGCAAGAATAGGGCTAAATAGATAGTGCTGAAATGGTGCTAAATAGTGTTAAATATCAGGGGCTAGCTAGCGCAGAGCCAATATTCTGAATAGTGTGAGTTGAAATAAACACCAGGAAGCAAATTCATGTTATCACAAGCTGCCACTTGACAATTTTTTGCCGCCAAAACATCGAAAACAAACGGGCAACCACCTGCAAAAATGTTCTCAGACCTAGATAGTGTCCCATCTACCAGTAACAGTAGCTATGGCTTGAAAATGAACAGCTTCCATGAGATTAAACCTAACTTCAGCTCATTACCAGGGTATGTTTCGACAAACGCTACCGCTACGATCACCGTGGCTCTGTAATGTTGTGGATCTCGGATCCCCAAAGCTGGCAACCACTCGAAAACCTGAGAGGCGCTGAAGCAGACGAGGCTGAGGGTGGGGTCGCTTCCGCTGCAAAGGAGGCCTGTCCAGGGGCCCTGGCTGCTGGGAAAGGGAGCTGATTGGGGCCTGATGCGCATATGACAGGACAGGTCTGACACGGCAACGGTAACGAAAGCTCCGGAAGAAGGCAGCCGGACAGATTTCATGAGGTGTTGTAACAGTAGTCTGACGACCTCATGAGCAGTGACGGGTTCCACAGATTCCGAAACAGCAGATCTGAATTCCCGATCTCAGAAGGCACGTCCCGGTCCCCGTGCGGAGCCCGGGCGCAAAGATGTTTGTGCATCTCTACTAGATCTCTGCTTGTGTAGTCTTCGCATCGGCTCGTCTGCTTGAAGTCACAAGATGCGGGCATCACATCACTTCCGCTTTCCTCTGGCTTGTGCAGGTCGAACACCTCAGACGAGTCCCGTTGCGTAGGGATCTTAGGCAGACAGGCTTTCGGCCCTCGTCCACTCAGTGTGTTGTTTTGTTGTGCAGATCATGTTGCCCTTGAACATGAGGAGAAGGCAGACGATGCCTGCTGTCGGCCTCCACAAAGCCGGTGCGGAGCCCGGCTTTGTGACGCATTGGGAAGTTCCTCCGCACACAAGGTAAACCCTCTCAATGCATAGTTTAGTTAGACTCGGTTTTATTGTCGATGTGGACAGCATAAATCAAAGCTGCATGCCTGTCATCCTTGCGGGAGCTCGAGCAAGTGAATCGCTTGCCCCTCACAACTAATGTCCAGTCAATGCAACAGGAAGCAAGCAAGCATCGCGAATGCTTTTGCTCTTCCGTGCAGGCCACAGACACCGTCAACGATGATGCAAGAGGACACTGCACTTTCGGCAGCAACAAATACTGGGCCAGGCCCGCGGTCAATTTTGCTAAATGGGGTGAGGATGGAAGGACGGAGCAGGAAAGGGGAGAAGGGTAGGTGAAGGTTTGAACGCGTGGGACATCGTAATCCAACAGGAATACGATGTCAAGCAATCTAGCAATGTTCTAACACATTGCGGCTTGCAGGACTCCACAGATGCCCGCCTGGAAGCATGGGGCTGAAAACAAGCGCTTCGCAGACAACGATCTGGCGAGAAGATGGCCACTAAGGTGGACAGCTTCGGTTCAGAGACGCCAGATGCCGACCTGCAGGCAAGTCCGACTTGCCGGGATGACCGATTCGACATACAAAGGGCGTTCAGTAGATGAGATGACGGAACCGGAACTCAAGGCAGTCGCCAGGTCGCTCAGTCGCGTCTTGCCAGGAGGAGGCAGCAAAGCCTCCGCGGCCTCCAAGAGAATCTACCAGCGGGCTCAAGGCACTGTGTTCCCACAGCTGTTTGCAGCTCTCGATGGAAGCACTGTTGGAGGCGCGGCTGTCTGCACTGGAGGTGCCATGGAACAAAGCTTAAACCACTTTCAAGAGTTGATGTGAGATGTTTCTCGCGGAGATTCGCGGCATTGCTCAGCAAGTATCTCGATGCCAGGCAGAGGTGCGAGAGTTAAGTATAGCGGGGCGCTTAAAGACGTGTTCGTGGCCTCGTACGATCCGGTGCGCATGGCATGGCTGCATTTGTCGTTTCCTTCGGAAGGCCTCTGAGAGTGGAGTCGCCAAAGAAGCGGCTGCAATGGCACAGGCCATGTCGGCCATGTAGAGGTGTCCCTTTAAGGTCTTTTTCGCCGGACGCGTGCGCAGGAGGCCGCAGAGGCATGCTGCACTGCCTTGCACGAGGACTTTGAGAAACCGGGCTTCGTTTAACACTCGATTCACTACAGTCACGGTACCAGGACGTGTCGAGACTCTTTGCCGCTTTCGAGGCCGAAGTAAAGGCACGCATCAGATTGAACAGGAGAGCGAGGTTCATGCTTGCAAGATTTGCTTGCTATAGAGCTCGTCGAAGGCATCGATCCTGCAGCTTCAGGGCCAGGTCAGGGCCTTCCGGGCAAGCTTGTACTTTGATAGTGAAAGTTGTCTGTGCTGCGGTGCAGGAACCTGGCGAAGTCCGTGGGATCGGCACGAGCTGCTGGGCTTTCGATGTAGATTTCTGCATGCAGAAGCGACCACTCCCGACTTGCGCAGAGGTGCCCACGAGGAGGTAAAGAAAGAGCTTGCTGAGTTTGCAGAGGTCTGCTTGTTGTGGACATCCTAATCGCCACCAGCTCTCGATCCCCATACATCCAATCACAGCCCCGTTCGCAGGCAATGCAGCAGAACTTTGTTAGCACTTCCGAGTCCTTGCGGCAGATGCTAGTTGAAGCCCAGGCGCGGTGCCTGAAGTTTGCACGATGCCCCCATACCGTATGGTCCAGTATACCAGGAAGAGGCCGAAGAGCGACTTCTGGGAAAGGCCACGACGAGTCAGCGCTTTGGTTCTTGGAAGTCGTAGCCCAGCGCGTCCAAAGGCAAACGGGATGCACCAGACGGTTGAAGGCTCGACATCAGCTTTCGCTGTAACACAGTGCTTCATGAAACACCGGTGTGCTAGGACTTCATCTACGGCTTGAAGCGCTTGAAGCAGACCTCCCACGTGGCCGCGTTGGGGACCCCCACGATTTCTTGGGAGCCTTATGGCCAAGCCGTTCCGGGGCCTGTGGCGAGTACAGGTCCGAGCCTCCAACAAGGGACCTGGTCCTCGGACTGCTTGCTGCTCAGCACGGGGTTGCAGCGACAGCACGACTGCTGCTCCTGACGGAGGTCCCTGCAGAAGGAAATGCCATCGAGGGCTTAGCTTGGCCCCCTGCAAATCGGCGAAGTCGGGGCTTTGGATGGCAGTGGCGTGTCTAGGCCCTCGGCTTCTCAGCCCTGGTCAGATCGCTCGGACTCTCGAAAGGCGCAAGCGCTCGCAGCTCACGGACGGCTGTTTACTTTCAAAAGCCTGCAAGGCGAACGTGTTGGACTGGACTGGAGCTGGGAAGAGGCCAGTGCCTGGCTGATGTCAAACGTCCGGGTCCGGGAAGCTTCGACAGTTCCGATTCCCCGTCCCGTTCAAGGCTGGCCTGCGCATTGAGGAGGCGTGGGCAGCAAAAGCACGCGAGGCGCACACTGGCGCATCTTCTAAAAGCCCGGTGGATCAAAGTTGGCTTTCGGGTACTCGTACTGATGCAGAAATTTCGATTCCGAGACTCGTAACTTGACCTTTCCAAAGATGATGTCAGGAGGTCAACATGTCCTCAAGGCAATGCAGTACAGCAGCGCACCATGCAAAGAAGCACATCTGCAGGCATGGCATCTTGGCCTGCCTCCCAAACCTGACCTCTTCGATTTCCTTCAGAGCCAGGCTCCAGCCGCTGCTTTCTCCCAAGACATGTTCTTGCTGTATAAAGCTTTGTGTGACTTGTGTGAGGGCAGGGATGTAGCTGTCGCTGTTGGTCCGAGCTTCGGATTGGGGGAACGGCCAGCCCTACTGTATTGAACTATTGAGAAGTGCGTGTGCGTGTCCTGTGAGGTAGATAGCGAGGTACATAGTGCACGGCTTTCTGTGATGTTTGATGGCAGCAGGTCCGTGCAGCAACTTCTACCACGGCACCAGCCCCCAGACTGCCTGACCGGCGGGAGGCGTGTCCATGCGTGTCCTGCGTCCCGCGGTGCCGCCTTTGGAAGTGTACGCATCAGGCCGCCAGGCTTACCAGCCGGCTCGCGCAGTGCTCTCAAATTTCACTGTGGACACCCGCAATGACAAGAATGCATCAGCCGTCCCTTGCCTCAGTTCCTCTCCTGTTTCGTCTGGCTGCGGTACGCTGTCGACTCGAGCTGAGCACTCGCTTGGCCATCTGCAAAGCTGCTCCTTTCGGGCGAAGCACATGCAGTTCACCAAGGTTCAGCCCCCAAAGCAGTGCAGCCACTGAAGCGGGCGCCCCTGGTGTCTGCGATAGTGTTCGCTTCGCTCGAACTGTAGCTGCTTTGATGTACCGCATACAGTACGAGGTTGCGAAGCCCCGCTTTGGATGAGTTGGGCTGTCGCTTAAAAGAGAGAGGCTAGATAAACGTTCAGATCATTCGGTCGGTAGCCGACCCGACGCCGCCAGTCAGACAAAACACAACATTGAGGGTGTGGGAAGTGCCTGCTCGAGGCTAAAGACTTGGAGTCGGAGACCTCTCCGCTCCAAAGGCCAGAGTCCACAGAGCTCACTGCGATTGCGACAGGCTACGCGAGATACGCCCTGCGAGGAGCGGTTCCTCCGGTGGAATCGGTCTTGGTCCAGGGCCAAAGGCCCAGCCTCGCGTCGCCTGCCCTTCGCGCGGCCGAGCCGCACGAGGCGCAGACACCTTGGCAAAAGTTTGGCCCGAAAGCACGGAGACATGATGAGACATGTGCCATGCGAAGGATCACGCAAATTGAACGTCCCCCATGCTTAGACTTAACCGAGCTTCAAAGCGCTGTTGCTGGTATGTTGACTTCTCTTTTCCACCTCTGCATACCTGTGGAGGTTTGTTTGTGAAAGTCTCGGCAAGTTATGCCGAACACCTTTTACACAAGTTGTTTGCAACAGATGCATGCATGTTTGGGAGTGGCCAACTACACCCGAGCAACCCTGCACAGCAGGAAGCCCGCGTTTACCCACCAGCTGCCAGTAAGCCCCTACCGAGCGGCCAAACCTAGAGACCTGGAAGACTGCGCAAGCTACAGCATCATGAACAAAGCAAAACTGTTGAAAACACGGTGCTTGCGTTCATCTGGAGCCATTCGTTCGCAGCCTCCGTCTGCTGTTTAAAAGTGACGCTGACAGGCGCTGATATGGTCAAGGGCTCGGGAGCCCTTCAGCCATGAAGACGCGGCTGAACGTGCAGCTTCGAGGCTTGGGCAGAAAGAGGCGATCCCGTCTATGCCGAAAGCAGACGGGGCTCGAAGCTGAGCAACGGCACTTTCTCGACTGCCAGATCTTGTTTTGTACTGTTGACCCTGGCCTTGATGCTCAAAGCTCGCACTGCCGGGTCTGGGAGCATCCCCAACCTAAAGGAACTGCCATGGCATTCTCCATTCCAGATGACTACGGATATGTCGTGCTGGCGCACTGCATGTCCTGGGTATCCAACATGTACCTGACCATCAATGTTGTGCAGACCTCAGCCTGCAGCATAACTTTGATGCTGTCTGCAGCTAGGGAAGTGCCGTTGACATGTTTTCTTCGACCCCGTTGCTAGATGTTGCTAGGTGAAGGCGCGTAAGCAGTATGGCATCAAGTACCCGGCCCTCTATGTGCCCTGCCGGCAGCGGCAGAGAAACCTGTGTATCTCTGAGTGAGGCGACTCGAAGCCGAGGCTCCCGACGGCCACCCACATGCGGAGAGTTTCAACAGCGTGCAGACACCTGGCACACAAAGTCAGAAAGGCCGATAAGTGTCCTAAGATGGCGAAATCCGGATTGAGAGTCAAGGCGAGCTCATCAGAACACTCTCGAGAATTGGGCACCGGTGCAAATCTTGATGGCATCTGCCCCCAGGACTCACAGACTCAGAGGCATGTGACCCTGACTCCCTCTGAGGCATTTAATGGCATTCTCTATCCCAAATTTGCTGCATCTTGTGGCATGATTTGGGCCTTCGGCCGAATTGTCTATGGTCGGTTTCCCAGGACGGTCTCTCTCCGCTCTGTGTCTGTGTGTGTGTGCATGTGGCCCAAGCACTGGAGCATGTGAAGATTCCGAGGCTATGGGTATGCTAAGGGTGGACCAGACGGGCGCATGGTGGGAGGATTGTGCCCCGACAGAAATTTGCGTCCATGCTCAACGCATGTTCCATCGAGCTGGAGATGGCGAGGCTCTCTCATCTTGGTGACTTACCCCTCCTAATCGGTGGATTCGTGCAGCTCGGCCGCCAGAGCTGAATTTCGGCATTTGCCCAACCTGACTTGCAAGGACTGCATTTGGGATGATAACAGCCTAGAGCACGTGAAGGCCGAGTCTGTGCAGCTCACGGAGACCGACCTCCGAGCTGAGTCGAAAGGGGTGTACAGCAGTTTTAAGCAGCGCACTACAGTCTGCACAGTCTGCCTCATTGGTTCCAACTTTAAAAAGTGCTGCCAGTGACCGCAATGCCTTCGGTGCTGATAGATCTGAGAGCACCGACTTCAATTCAGACTGAACTTGCTTAGGCCAAACGCTCCGTGCCACATCCGCTGGTGTGCCATGGGCAGCAGAAGAGAAACGAGAATGAACCGCGGAGATAGCCCCTTCCCAGGCTCCCCTTCATGCCGAGACTCGAATTGCTTTGCGCGATGTTGCAGGGCTTAGCATCTGCATCACCAGCTTTGTGTTCCCCACTTTCTGCCCGTCTGCTGCTCAAATTTGCGAGCGAATGAAGCTAACACCACCTCATAAACTGTAGCTGCTTGATAGGCTCCTGCAGTTCCTATGTGTAGGTCCTGTGCATAGGCTTCCGAGATTCAGCGTGCTGTTGTGGCTTAGAAACCTAAAACTTATAGTTATAGCTTGACAAAGGGGAGATGATTTGAACAGACAGGCGTGATCACACGGCTCGAGCCGACAGGTAAATTTGGTACTGACAAGAAACGTAAGCGAGCTTGATTGCAGAGTTCGAAGGCAGGCCCCTCGTCGCTGTTTGTTACGACTGCCAATGCGTGACAGCTTGAGCGCAACTGAGGCGCCGCAGCGGTTCGGCTAGATCCAGCACGATGTGCCGACGTCTTCGTACAGATCGTATAAACTAGAGAACGAGCGTCCCGAAAGCGTTTAGAGCAGCACTGCACGGTAGCACCGAGCATCATCTCACATCTCCATCGATGCACCCATCCACCCGTCCGCCCATGCATCCATCCATCCATCCATCCATCCTTCCATCCTTCATCCATCCTCGCGTCCACCCATCCATCTATCCATCCATGCATGCTTGCATCCTTGCATGCATTAGTTTATCAAATCCACCCACCCGTGCCTCCATCCGTCCATCCATGCAGCTATGCATCCACCCATTGATTCAAACTTGCATACATTCATGCAAAGAGCGCTTTGTTACGTTAATTCATTCATGCATTTAGTCGTCCATGCATCCATCCATCCACACATCTTCTACAAACCGTCCTGTAAACCTTTACAGAGCCCTGATATGAAGCCGCACTATAAGGCCCTTCTATAAATCCTGATCTAACTCCTTGAGCCCTGCCACACCATTCTGCAACCCACTAAAGCCCTTCTATAAGCTCCTCCTATGATCTCCTCCAGAAACCTTTCTACAATCCCTGGACCAAAATGCTTCCGTCATGTACGGGCGGGACTCAAGACCACTGCCAAGATGATTTCCCTAAAGTACTTGGCCAACATGATTCCCCCAAGTATCGTGGGGTGGATGTCATGGAACATTAACTCACGAAGGAGCGGATCCGAAACTACCAACGAAGAGAATAGTTTACCGAAGTGCGAAACATGGTATCCGCTCATGTACTTGATGTGCTGCAAGGCTGCAAGTGTAAGCAGTGGCTTAAGCTGGCATTGTAATTCAGACGGTGGGCACAACGATTCTGCGGCACCACGCACAAAGCGCCAGGACCTGTCAGTGTAATGGAAGTTAATGGAACAACAACTCATCGCGCTTACCGGAAGATGCGGACACACGAGTCCACCAAGAAGCATGTCAATTCAGAGTACGCCTCGTCGCGGCACCACATGTGTAGTGCGATGTGGCGCGACCCATACGTCACGCAGCCCGCGTATTTCGCGCGGCCAACAGCTTCCCCATGTACTGTACTGGATTTGACCAAGGTCTTGCCCAAAAACCGGTAAGATTCAATACATTCGAAGCTAAAACCTATGCTACGCACCGCACATGCAGGCCAACATTCTGACAAGGGCCAATGCATTGGAATTTACAATTGATCGCACATGCCGGAGGACGTGGGTGGACACACCACGCTCACCGCGGGTTTTCAATTCCGAACACGAATGGTCGCGGCACCAAACGCAGAGCGCGATTTGACGCGATCGAACTGCTTGCCCCCATCCACTAGTGGATTCAAAAGCGCGGCCGAAAGTCTCCCCCCAATGCGATGGCGTGATGCAGAGAATGACCAACATGCCTCCCAAGTCCAGTGATGCTTCCCACACTAGCAGGATACCGACTGACATGGCCATTTTTTTCCCCCGAGGAGTATTGGCGGGATTTAACCAGCATTTCGAATCCAAAAACTAAAATGTGCCACGAACAGACGTGGACTCGCCAAAAATGTCAGTTCGGAAGACACGTCGTCACAGCACCACGCTAGCAGTGCCATTTTGCGTGACCGAGCACCCTAGGCTAGCATCAGGACGGGGTTGCCAAATCCGAGACAATCGTCACGGCACTGCACATGCAGCGCGCGACTCCTTTCGGCCCTGCCCTGTGCGTTTAAGAAAAACACAGGTCAGAAGCAGCATGGCATCAACATCATCATGCAATCTATGATGCGTCTGATGCGCCATCACATCATGTCATCCAAACCACCTCCATGGCAAATAACCCTTTCGGACGCTTTCGGGGAAAAGAGGATCCATGGAAGTGAACGTGACGGCAAGATTAGTTTCAACGTGAAACTCATTGTTGCCGCAGCATCCTCTTTCCACTTGCTTGTCTGTGAAACATAGGAAGTCTCGCTGCTGCATCTAAAAGAAGGGTCCTTGAAGGTCCCAGCGGCAGAAAGACTTTTGCAAGGAATCTTTAACCTGGGATGTCCAGTGAAGGCTTCGTCAACTCAAAGTGTGCAATAGTGTCAAGTGGTTGCACATGGATTGAACATGAAATGCTTGAGCCTGACATGGTCATCTCCTTTGCATGCGATGTTGCTGGCTCACATCTAGCAGCTAAAGTCATGAGTGCTTTCTCAAGCTGCCTTCTTTGACAGCACGTCCTTTGAAGTCTGGCAAAGTGCAGCTTGGCTTCGAGTTGCCATGCCCCGAACGGGGGCACAGGCCGAGCACAGCCGCTCTTTTGTTTCGCCTTTGACGCAGTTCAAGTTGGCATTCACACGTAGCCGACGTAGACGTGCGTGTCTCGTCTCAAAGGCGGATAAACCCAGGCAGTGTCACCCATAGAGGCTCCCGGTGGCTTACTTGCCTAATAAGTTCTCCGTGAAGCTCAAAGAGAAAGGACTTTGTAGCAATAGACCTCAAAAGGTGCTCTAAGGCACGAATACGAATTTGCATCATCCTCTGTGTCCGGCCTTTGTACACCAGCTGCTCCGACTCCACCAGCAAGCAACAGACAGACTTCACGCAGTCTTGACGCTTGTTCGCAGTAACAGACTTCACGCCAAGCCACTGCCCATTCTCAGCAACCTCATGCCAACTCTCCGGCACAGTCATAGCTTTGCATTCGCGTAGCCTTTTGCCATGTGGATTGGCAAAGATGGCAATGTTCCAAACACATGTCGCATTTACAAGGCGAGGAGTTGAGATGCCGGAGTCGCGGTCAAATGCGCAAGCCGTTTGATGCGGTCTCGAGTTTCGAATGCATTGCAGTCGAAGAGTCGCAGGACTGTCCTTAAGACGATGCTTCTCGGTGGCCCAGCCTCGCTTACCCACAGCTTCTTGCATCTGCCGAGCGCGTGCTCGCAGAGGTGCTTCTTCGACGGCACAGGTCTCAAGGCCCATCAGCCCGTGAGACGAAAGGCAGGGGTAGCATTGGCAGATCTGATGCAGAGGACCTTCCAGCTTCTGGTCCAGAGGAAATGCATGGCAGGCGAAGACAGGGCTAAGTCGGCATTTGGAGTTTTTTGTTGTGACGCTATTGCACAACACTTTAGCTCGGCCTTCCCCGAAGCGATGGGCTTGGAATTCTAGTTTATGCTAGTACGAGTTGCGGACGCGTCGTTCCGGTCTATCGCGACGATTTCAAAACTGACGCTCGTGCAGGCTCCAAAGGTGAACTGTTATTTGCTTCTGGGCAGCTGGCTCAGTGGCTCAGCATCGTTACTTGCACAGTAACGCTCTCAGCTGTGTCGAATCCAGGTGTTCCCGAGACGGCCAGTTTAGATGACATACGGAAAGCTTACTTGCAGCGCCGGGTCCTGGGTGTCCGCCAGGCGACTGCACCTGCAAGCCCAGCTCTGATCAGGTGCAAAATCCGCACATCCAGACGTTGTGGGCTCCTGCCTCCTTCTCAACGTCATATCCGCCGTATACTCCTGCCAAAACAGAACACGCGCCAGATGCAGGCTCCAATGACATGGTGCAGTTAAATCTTTGCGCCGGCCCTGGGTTCCTGTATGTTTCTGCACCGAAGAGATATCCACGTTCAAACTCTCTCTGCGTGTGCCCCTGTGGATCTGCTTTCGAGGCTACGAAGCTCTCACCCAGAAACGGCGAGAGTATGATGCGGCCAAGGGAATAGGCCTAGGCCCCAGGAGGCCTTTTCCACGGGCCTCTGTTTCTCTCCCCCAGCTCTGCGAGGCTTTGCGACAGGTCGGAAAGCTTCGGCTTCGGCTTCCAGCGGAAGCTCCGCAACGAACGCTCGAGATGCCTGGTGGCCCTGGCCTCAGAGGCATTCAGAGGCATCCGCAGGCCATTTTGAACCGGGCCTCTTTTTTGGCCCCCAATAAAGGGGATGAAGTGTTTGTACTGTTCTGTGGCGGACGAGGCACGGAGCCTTGAGTTGAAACTTCGAAGAATAGAAAACTAGATGTACAGATGATACACAGGGACATGCTAATAATTGTAATATATGTATATGTATGCATATATATATATATTTATTTATTTATTTACTATTTATTTATTTATACATTTCTATCCACGCATATGACGCAAACACCGGTTGATGTACGGCTACATCATCTATGCAACACAACTTCCATACGGAACCAAAGGGACGCAGTTCCCATGGTGCCAAAATGGTTTTTGCCCTAGTCCAGGCCGTCCAATGGCGCCTCCTCCAAACCTGGGCCAAGATTTCTGCCATGTAAAGAACACAATGCGGATCCTATAGCTTACGGTGTTTTCCAGAACACCACTAAATTTTGCTACAACTATACTGTTGGCTTTGGAGATGTCTTTCCGAAGCCGGTGTCTAAACGTGGTTACGGTTTCGGGTTTGGGGAGCGGGGGAACTCGAGATGGGTGCTTCGGTCAATGAGCAGCTAATGTAGTGCCCCGTGACGGCTTTCGGCCCTGAAGACACCGAAGCAACGCCCAGTTTTTGTGAGTGGAGTAAGCGTTATTTCAGGAACTGACCAAGGCCCGAAACAAGTTGATACAGGGTTTGCCCACACATCAGCCTGTTTGAGAAGCCACAGTTTAGGCTGTCAGAACAGGTGATACGCACCAGGGCAACTGGCTCTTCAGGGCTTCTGCTCCATGATCAACAACTAGCATCTCTCAAACAATTGTTTCCTCAGTCTCGATGCCATCTTAGACCAAGAAGACTGAGGCGTGCCCAGGGTGGTTTCGACGATCAGGATGCATGCCGTGCTGCCAACATAGCATTCGTTCTGATTTCAGATAGTCGGAACGTCAGTTTCAGGATGATGAGGAGTTTTATCCCTTCCACTTCCAAGATTTTGCAGAAAAGAAGTGGCGTGCAAAGCTGAGACTCTGCTGCGCACATTTCGTACATTCCGGGAATCTCGGAGACTCCAGGCGTCAGACGAGAGAATGGAAGGCGTTGCGGCCTTAGCATTAAGCAACGGAGCCAGAATGCCGATGCGTGACACGTCAGCGCAGAGATTCAAACTCGAGGCTAAAGTATAAATCATTCCGATGACAAAAAAAGATTGGACATATAACCGGACGACAAGTGGACAGGCGACGAAGCATTCCGATGAACAAGATGATCGGACAAGACAATCAGTCGACAGATGACGAAGCACTCCGATGACAGAGAAGAGTTGACAGACCATCGGTCAACACGTAGACAGCTGACAAACCCGTCGAGGCATGTCGAGGCGACATGTCCATCTCATGAATATCTAGGAATCTGTTTAGGAGACGTGATGGGCATCTGCTTCAGGACGGCCCACTTGGGAAGAATTTGCACAGATGTGGGATGAAGGTGTCACTGTCTCAGAAAGGAAATGTCATCCTGTAAAGCTTCCGTTGTTTCTGTGACAGACATCGAGGAATTCGATGCTCGAGCTCGAGGCTCTCCTATCAACTTAAGCCCTCCTTTCGTGATGCCTCGTGATGCCTTCACCTCGTCAGGGTCGCGGAGAATGCGTGGGCGCCGAGCGTCCAGGCCGACCCGCAAGATGATCTGTAGGGCATCCCTTTGCCTCCTTTTGCAAGGAGAGTGCAAGACTCGAGCAGTGATGAGGAGGAGTTTGAGACTAGGCATTTGGACGCTTGAGTTTGGCATCTGCCGCCGATCAAAAGTCCTTGCACGGCCGAAGGAGATAGACTGGCGGCGTGGGACTCGCTCAAGTCAAGCTCGCGGGCAACATTGGTCTCCATCTCAGCAGTACCGGTACCGTACTGGTCCAAACCATGCACGCGTGTTCAACCACAGGCAAGATTCATCCAGCGAGGAGCGCAGAGCATGGCGACACAACACATGAATTGTCGATGTTACTCAAGTCTACTTGTTCGGAGGATGAGCATGAAGCAAGGCCTAAATCAGGACTGATGCGTACCAGCACTTCTTGTGCGCTGGGCTGTGCTCCGCTTGAAAGTGGAGGCCGACAGGAGGAGAGTCCAGCAGAGCTGTGGGTGTGTGACTGAAGCTTCCGAAGCGCATCGAATCGAAGCATTCACGACTTCCGAAACTTGCATGTCCGAGGTCGAGGTTCCGCAGCGCGGGCGCAACATGCGCAGCCCTAAGTGCTCGGTGCCTGGTAGGACGTTAGGACAGACAAATCTTCAACACGGCTACGTTGTTTTCCCGAATTCGGCTTTGGCCCTGGGCCCCGTTCCAGTCATGCCACCTGGCGTAGTATCGATCGGCTTCCTATCGGAGCTTCGCGGCTTGACAGCGGCTGAGTTTTCAGCTTCGCTTGCAGGCGCTCCTCGGACATCATTGGCGGAGGGTACTTGAAGCCTGCAGCCGAATTGTCTCTTTGCAGCGTGGACTTAAAGTTTGTTGTCCCTTCTTGGTCCGCGTGGCTTGGTCCGCAGCCGTGGTAGAACTGAGAAAAGGAGCCATGGCAGCCCTTTTGCCGGAAGGTGCCGTCAGCCACTATGTTCTGCTTGGTGTGCTTCATACCTCTTCTCAAGACGAGATCAGGAAAGCACATCGCCTCCTGGCTCTCAAGTGGCATCCAGACAAGGCCGGAGTTGTGCGAAAAGCGAACTGACGGCGGCTGCAGCGGCAAATCTGCTTTCAGGTAGAGGATCCGAAGGATGAGATCGCCGTGCGTGTGGCAACTCAGCAATTCCAGCTTCTGCAAGCGGCCTACGAGGTCTTATCTGACCCAGCAAGACGCCGAAAGTACGATGAGAGCTTGGGCTTGAGCGGGCTTGGCCCGCTAGGCCCGTCTTCTGTACAGGCACCCAGCACTAGGCGCACCTCCTCAAGCTGGGAGCAGAGTGAGGCTTTGAGGATTCACGTGCCCAGCGAAGTGGCATCCATCGCTGCTGCTGTGGATCGGCTCTCTATCGGCGGAGGCGAGATCTTCGTTGCTGGCGGCACCTATCATGGCCTGATCGTCATTTCGAAGCCACTCGTGCGGCTCGTGTGCAAATCTGCCGACAAAGCAGTTATCAAAGGCCAGGTGGTCTTCAGAGAATGTGCAGGCGGTGCGCAGCTGAGTGGCTTCGTTATAGACGCGTCATGCAGTGGCGGCGCCATAGATCTGAAAGGGGTAGTTGGGAATGTTCAGATCGACCATTGCGACATCAGCAATGACTCGTCTGCCGGAGTCGTTCTTGAAGGCTGCTCTGGAAGCACATTTATTCAATCTTGCCGGGTACATGGATGCAAGTACGACGGTTTGGGACTTCACCTTTTGTCCGGAGATGCATCTCACACCGGTTTATTGAAAGTTGAGAATTCCACCTTCGAAAACAATGGCTACGACGGACTGTACCTGGGAGACCCTCGATTCAGCGCTCGCCTTCTTGGCAGCTCTGTTATCCGAAACAGCCGCTATGGCGTGCTGGTCCGTGGCACAGACTTCTCGATGGAGAGCTGCAGCTTTTCCGAGAACGAGAAAGAGTCTGTGAAAGTGGAGGAGTTTGTGCAGAAGGCAAACCCTAGGGGCACTCAGCGGACAGGGAAGGCCAGGGAAGTTGCTGCAGACCTGCCGGAGGGTTGGCGGGCTTTTCGAAATACCGAAGGCCTCGTCTACTACTACCACATGGCCTCGGGCAAGACAAGATGGTCTGCGCCTGGCGAGGATGCTGAGCTCGAGCCTCTACCGCTGCCGCAAACGACTCCAGCATCCAAGAAACGCAGCAGATGGAGCTAAGCCCACAAAAGCCCTACTCAACTGGAGGAGTCCATCCGCAAATACCTACATGCCGCCACGTGCCCGCACAGCTTCATGAAGAAGATCTGTATGATGCTCACCACTCACTTCGGCATACCAGATGTGCGGGCCGGACGTTCCGTGCGGGAGCGCAGTGTTCACGCCCTGAGGACATCTGCTCAGCCCGGACTTCGCCGACTGCGTGGAGTCCTGGAGGCGGAGCGTGCCGACGAGCAGACGAGCAGGACTCCTGCGATCCTAAGGATGAGAGCTGTTAATACTTGTCGCTGAGCTCGTTCATCGTCGGGTCGGTCAGCTAAAAATGGAGCGTTGATGCAGGAGGTTTACACCTGTCCATGCTGTCCACTCTACTCCTTGATTTCTGAGGCTCGACACTTCCTTCAATGGGCGACCGGTGCTGTCCTCACCAAGGCCAGGGCACGGCATCCGGCGCTGGCGCGCTGCAAGGCTTTCAAAAAGAAGGGTGATCACGGTCTCTACATGTTTTGGAGCCAGCAGTTCGCCTCTCAACTTCTTCATTCTTCCCGCTCCGATAGTGGAAGCCGCCAAACATTCCCAGGTTCGGCGATTGGAAGATCGCCGAGCGGCTTCAGGATGATGGTGCCTGTGAGCTGCTGAGAATTGCTGAGACATACTGAGGCAGTTGCCAGCCACTGTACCACACTTGATCACACCGTTGATCCGTGCCAGATCTCCCGCGGACACTGCGCCATAGGACATCCGGAATTTCCAAGCTTCTCTCGATGTCTGTGAGGTCTCGGCTTCGCAGAAGACATGCGAGGTCGACGCAGGCAGCACATAGAAAGCAGGGGCGAAGTACCAACACGAATGGACATGTTTACATGTCTGCGTCATGTTGCTGTCAGGCCTTGGTTGCAGCACCCTCCGCTGTGCATGCCTTATTGCAGCAAATGCAACGATTCATTATGAAGTGCAATTTCTGCCATGGACTCCGACTGTAAAGCTCTGCCTCAGGCGGTGGCGCCTCTGGGAACCAACTGCACGCAGATTCGTGCCCAAAAGACCCCTGCGTCTCAAAGTCGCGTCTTTCATACCACATATGTCATATATGCTCTCTGTCTTTTGGGCAGAGGACTCAATGTGGTTGATGGACCCGAAGTTGCAGGCGACGAAAATCTTGCTTCAAAGCCAGTCGCGGGCGCATTCATGCCTCTGACTTCGCAGGAGCGGCGTGGCAGGAATCGCAGGCACGGTGTCTCCAGGTTTCGGCGTCGTTTTTGGGATGTGGCAAGCGACAGGAGGACTCAGATGACGATGAGGTGCCATGGTCGCGGCCACACTGGTGCGGACCTATATGTGTGCGTGTGTCACCTCCTTGGCACCCGGGCTTTGATGTCATTATTATTTGCAGTGCAGGTCGAAATGGTCCACGGCCGATCTAATTCGACTGTCCGGCCTGATTTGAGGCTCAACTCGCGTGTCCTCCCCCGGCAGTTGCAGCAGGCTGGTGCGACCGACGCAACATCGACCTCAGCGGTTGTTTTGATCGGGAGGCGCCCTGTGTCTTGCACAACAGAGCTTCGTACGACACTGCCTTCGAATCACCAGCGTGAATCCTTTTAGCTTGTGTGCAAGCTGGCTTGCGTGTAGATCGCCTCGCAGGCCGTGGTGGACCGTGTGGCGACCGTTGCGAAGCAGGCCGCTGCTCGCCGCTCTCCGCTCCGAGTCTGGGAGCTTTCCTGGGCAAGTGCAGTCGCAGGACATGGCACGAGATGGCGATGACTTTGAAAGGACGTGCCTCGGCCTGTCTCTTTCGAAGGTTGAGGAGCCGAAATGTTGTCGAATGACGAAGGACAGACCGTGTCAACCAAGTTCGTGTTGCATCGAGAGCACTGGCCCTGGTGCAAAAGTTCATGTGTGGATGCCCGTGGATGCATGTGCCGTTAGGTGAAGACGGATGGCTCCTACACAAAGCCACCAACACTTGACCGCCGCAGTTCACTGTACGGCCGGGCGGCCCGGTACTTGACCGTACATATCCGAAAACTGCTGAATCTTGCGACTTCCTGCACATGTCGGCACCGTTCGTTCTATCGAAGTCTAAGAAGTCACCAATCGTGGTCTAGAGTCTAGATCAATATTCGTACCTTAACTCGACATTGACATAGCGCAGGCGATGTGCCAGCATAAGTTCCTTACGAGAGCTGGGCCTTGGATGACTTCATCCTCAGTACGCATTTACCTGCTTGCAAAAATTGCACTGTGTTCTTGTCTGTGCCTCAGCTTCGGCACCCAGCAAAGAAGACGCTGGAAGCATGCTTCTATCCCATGTACTTCCAAAGAATTACCTCGGTGTCCACAGACGCATGTTTCAACAGAGATGTAAGGAGACGGCGACCAGGCACATGGTAGACGGCCCAATCCCGACTGCGAAAACTTCCCATACCTAAGCGGCCGGCGAAATCGAGAGAGCATGCAGCACTCACAGGCAATCGAATCGAAAGATTCGTTGGCCCTGAAGCTGATGTCCTGTCGGTCGCTGAGCGGCGGACTGTGGTGGTGTGTCTCGGACCATTCTGGTGGAATATACCGCTAGGCCATGGCTCTACAGCTCGGGAGACAAGTCTCGGCTTTATGGGGTGTACTTCGGAAGCGAGCTGATGACTCGGCCGGAAACGAGACCAAGCCTACGGTTCCGATGCACATGCCGAGGTTTGCTTACAGTCTGGTGTGGAGGAGGAAAAGACTGCTGTTGTCCGGGTTGTGTCAAACTTGCGAGTCCTCACAGCATCAGGCAAAAATACTGGGGAAGACCAGGTGGAAACAGGCCTACTGCTGTCTTGTTTTCAGATATTTTCAGATGATTGATTGCACCTGGCGGGCACAGGCCGAGCCGTGAGGAGCGGTGGTAGATGTAGCCGCGCTCAACCTGGAAACAGATGCGAGATCGAGTCACCCTAGTCTCGTTCCGTGATCGTACCCCTCCACGTTTCATTTGCTATGGCTCCAGGCTCATGTACCACGCCCAGGCAGTTCAGCATAGGATCCGTGCAGTGCAAGCTTAAGCTTTCGAAGTGAGAGAGCCAACTGCACCAACTGTTACTTTCTGCCCAGCAGCCTGGCGTAGATGTGCAAAAGCATATAACAGCTGTGCGATCCCTCATGATTCTGAGTTCTGAGACCTACTGGGACTGCTGATCGTGCATCCATGTCTTGGCTACGACTCCACTACTTCGCTTCCAACAGACAACTTACACTCGGCAGCATTTTACCACTGGACGTGAAGCCGTGCAGCAATCCCGATCTGTTGGCTGGGTGGCTGCGGGTGGTTCCAGCATGCTAAATGTGGAGGCCGTTGAACACCGGTTCCTCGCTAAGCGCAGCCATCGAGATAACGACTCAGGAGTTTGTTTGCCCAGAGCTGCGGCTGGCTATGTGTCACGCCATCCCGCCCGACTTGAATGAGACCGTAATGAGACCTGAAACGTAGACACGGCCAGAAGGAGCGTCGTAGTGGCGGCCCTGTAAGTGCCAGGTGAAAGAGGCGATCCGAATCATCATGCTTCAGTCTGAGTTTTCAGTTTCAGTGGTGCAAGCTGTAAGAGACTCAGCCTTTCAGCGAAGGCATTGTCTTGTCGTATGCCGCAGTCTTGGTGGCACCCAGCCCATCGTGTCGGCCACAGTCCAAAGCAGCCGTTGACACGTTGACTTTAGTAGCTGGTCGCTTGCCCGAGGATCTCAAAGCAGTGGTCTCTGAATTGTTCGACGTAGAGTACCTGAAGATCAATGACAGCCAATTGGTGCAGGCGGCAGCTGTCCGGCTGCTCGACTCTTCTTGCAACACCCGACTCCGGCGGTTTCCTTGGCAAGGAGGTCGAGCGTTTAGTCGAAAAGTTCTCTGAGATCCTCGAGAACAATGCTGACAAGTCAGGCAAACTTCTCTGAGCCACCATACAGTGATGGGATGGAAGAGACTCCTGTTCAAACATGGCTTCTGTTGCAGAGGCCGTGCTCAGCTGGTGTTCAACTTATACACAGCCAAGAATCGCAAGCAAAGCATTTGGTGCGCAGCTTGTTTTTGAGATGCGCCCCGAGAGGCCAAGCCTCTAGTTAGTGATCAGCTGCAGGAACATCTTGGTCGGCAGCGACGAGAAAATCGTGTTCGAGCAGTGGCGCATCCCCGTGGCCGTGCAGCCGTTGAACAGGCACGCGTTCGTTGTAGTGCTTGCCTTCAGATGCAGTTGCAAACTGGCTTCCTTGCAAGTACGAGTAAGTCATTCAGCTGGAAGCATCTGGAAATATTGTTGTACGCGACGAAATGCATGTCTTTGCATACCGGCCTAGGTACTTGAATCCTGCTGACAACTTGCGTGAAGAGGCCAACTTGCAGGCGACGCTGGCACAGCACAAAGCAAAAACAAGAGGGCAGTAGAGCAAGAGCGGCAGGAGAGATGTAGCTTCCAAGGATCCTTCCAGCGCTTGGCAGGCCTCTGCTTCGCAGCAGGTCCAGCAGGTTCTCCATTATGTCATCGCCAGAGCCAATGCCAAGGACCGGCCCGGCGGCACTGTGGAATGGGAACTTTGAGGGTCCTCCATGCCGCCAGATTATTGAACAATATGGTACACACGCCTTGCGCGGCCACCGGCGGCAAGCGCTTCAAAGCTCTTGCGCTGTAATTTACAGGACATTAGGGCCTGACGGAACCAGAGTGTTTCAAGAGTGTTGGTTTTGAAAACAACTTTGGGGCGTTAATTACAACTTGTCGGCAGAGCTTGCATGCTCTCCGGAGCTATTGTTTGGCGCGGCGCGCGGCAGCACTTCGCGTGGTGTCGTCGATGCCTCTTGGTCACAGAGCTAAGACATTTCGCACAGCAACGCTGCCTGATGCTGGCACCAGACAAATTGCTCGACAAGCAGCACCACGGCCGCGTTTTCGAGCGCAGCCAGCCCCTTGCCTCATTGCCGTGCAAAGCTTTGTGGAATTCCATCATCATAGCTGGTGTGGATGTTATCATGGTTGGCCCACGGGTGTCTGGATGGAGTTTATCACGGTTCATGTTACGTTAGGGTGGACGTTCACATGGTGGGCCCACGGATGTTCTGCCGACAACGGATGAGGTCTGGGCGGACGTTATCATAGTTGGCCCATGGATGCTCTGCGACGACGGATGGGGTGGTCCATGGATTCTCTGCCGTTAGCGCGGATAGAGGTCTGGGTGCACCGCCGCAATGCAGCGCCACAACTGTGGCGGCAGAGCCAAGCACTACTTTTTAACAAGTCGCTCAAGCCGAGGCCCCTCATAGGTCTTTTGCAGCTGTCTGGCAGGTGCCAAGCTTTCGTCCCTTCGGGGACTCGTCAGGGCTTGACAGCCGTAGATGCTGCGAAGACTGGTGCGCACATCCGCCAAACTAAGGAAGCGGACGCGTGCACGTCGGATGACGCTGACACGGTGAAAAAAGTTTACGTTATCATAGTTGGGCCCTTGGATGCTCTGCAACAACGGATGGGGTGGCCCATGGATTCTCTGCCGTCAACGGATAGACTAGAGGTCTGGGTGGACCGCCGCAAGTCACCGCCACAACTGGCCCGCCCGCCCTCGAAGGCTTCACTGTCCTTGCCCTGCTCAAAGGCTTCCTTGTCCCTGGTCTTGCCGTGACTCAACACGGCAGTCAGTTAAGAACGTCATTATCCCCCCACCCCCCACCCCCCACCACATTCCCTACCCTCCCAACTCCACGGAATCCCTCGAAACGTCCGGAACATGCAAGAACCAGAAGTCCGACGAGTCCGAAAGCAAGGACAAACCGCAAATGTCGAAAGTGGTAGAATAAAGAGGAAGAGAACTCTTGAAGCGGATGGCCGGCAAAACTACAAAAGCTCGAGGAAAGAGAGCTACGACTTTAGACAAAAACTCTAAAAAACACTGTGGGCACGCAAGGCGCGTGGTCCAACTACAGATTGCTCCCCAAGGACCAACCCGCTCTGCCTTAGCTTCACCGATGCTGCTCGTGAGGTGGAGCACCTTCCGCCACCGGACAAAGAGCAGACGGCCTACAACTTCGATGTTGCTTTTCTATCAGGCGATGGCAAGGACGGCGGGATTGTTGGAGCACGTGGGCCAGCATGGCTAACACTGGGACTTCTGACGTGCGCTGCTCCTTTGGAGGACATCGGGGCCGGGTCTTTGCTCCGGCAGGGTCTGGGCTCCTCACTTCAAACGATCCGCCAGATGCCGCCGCGATCTTACTTCGCTCAGCAAGCGAGCCGCGGCGTGTTCTGGCTGGGCAAGGTACATGGCGTGATGGCATGAATCTGACACAGCTCATCACAGCTCCCTCGTGACCGACATGTACATAAACCGGCAGCGAAAGCTCGCTGTGAGCAGCTTCGGACAGTGTGGACTTCATCACCGGGCACATGTGTTTCCGCATGGAACAGACACAGGTTACGTATCATTAGCACGGATGTTCATCTGAGTCAGCCTCCAGACTCAGATCGCACAGTCTTTAGCAGTTTTGGCAGTCTGATAGAAAACAATATTCTTCGCTCAGCATACCGCTGGCTAACAAATCGGTTGAAGAGCGGGAGCCCGTGACTCGAACAAGCCATCGGACAGACCCAAGAATGACAAGCCTCCAACTCCAAGCTTGAGCGATGATCTTATCGAAGCAGTTACTGTGTTATATATGCATGCTTGTAGCATGCAGTCTACTCGAGTCGGTGCTTCACATGGTCGTCAGCTGCATAGTCTGTGCGAAGTCTGCAGTGATCCTGCGAAGGCTGCATGCAACGCTTTGAATCGGCTTTGAGGTGCGAAAACAGTGCTAGCCGACAAGCACGTTCGAGTCATGGGACTCCCATGGGACAGGAGTGTTCACTTGGATACACAGCCAACCCTTGCAGCGCTGGCCCAAGGCGTTTGTACGAAGCTCCCACTCATCAGCATGGCACTGACATGCATCTTGGGAGGCTTGAATTCGTCTGAATTGTGGTGAAGCTTACGCAGGGGACTGAAACCATGCATTTCTCTTCAGGACATGGCTCCGGCATGCCGTTCTCTTGATTCTGTCCACTTCCACTGCCGGGAATTATCAGTACGGCCGGCATGTCCAAATGAAGAGGGACACGGGCTTGCGCCTGGGGCATCAAGATTCGCCTGGCAGGGGCGACCCGTGCGCGACTGCATTGCTTCTGGTCGCGCACCGCGATGATGAGACCTTCTTTGCAGGTCATTCCCTGCAGTCTTGGCAACACCAGGTTTCACAGATGTAGTCTGTAGTGTCTTTTTGAGTTCATGGCCGATCTCAGGTGAGGCACTGCTAGGCCGCAAAGCTTCGCTTCCCTGGGGTTGCCGCAGGGTGTGGTGGACTCGATCTCAGAGCTGCAAAAGCCCACGAAGTCTTCATCATGCTGGCAGCAAGCCGATGTCACCTAGGCATGTTGTCGTGGTTGCTGGACGAGGTGACCAGAGCACTCGCGAGGCTCGGTGATGTTCGGGAGGTGTCGAACGTTTTGCAACATGTTGCCGTGGCAAGACGATGACTTCAGGAGCTGAACACAGTCTTGAACATTGCAAGGTTCGACAAGAAGTAGTACCTATTGCATGAATCCTTTGCCAAATTACAGACATGCCAGGTCGCATACTCTCGCCGCAAGAATCGTGGAGGAGGCCTGTGCAGCTTCTTTTCTGGAATTTCTGAAATATTTGCGTGGTTTTTCTAGCGAGGTTTGGAACTACGCTGACTGCAACGTGCCGTATGAAGCTCAGTCTCAGTCGACTCACCAAGCTCGTGGCTGCAGCTTGGCACTTCCCTCCCTCCCTCCTTGCAGCCAGCTAAGGTATTGCTACGAGTTTCTAGGCTGGCAGAATTGGCGCGGAGATGTGCAGATTCTCCACCCCATGACCAGATGGACCCGTTCCGATACAGAAGCGCCTTCATGACATTCTCGCATCACGCACGGGCCAAAGCATTATCCGACTTTTCTTGAACTTGTCGCAGCCCGGGCGCAGCGTTCTGAGGCAGCTGGGATTATGTGGTGACCCACAACGAGCAGGGAGAGTACGCACCAAGAGATTGTAGCGCACCGTACTGTGAAATAAAATTACATGCGGCATGTGAGAAAGGTACCATCATTATCAGCACGCGGGCAGGCCTCTCAGCGTGCATGAGCCAAGCTGAGCGACTTAGACTCTTGCTGGTGCTCTTGTAGTCCCTGCTGAGCAGCCTTCGCTTGGCCTGCCACGGGAGAGCATGCAAAATCACCTCTTCAGATAAACTGAAAATGGCAGAGGTGAGCCGCTGCACTGGCCGCAAAAAAGAATCGAAGCCAACTCCTCCGTCTTACGGCATCTATCAAGATACCGAGTCGTCACGATCGTCTGGTCTCCGAATCCTAAAATGGGCCTGTTGCTTCCTTGCAGGAAATCTCCTGCCAGAAATCGCTCTTCCAAAGGCATGGGGTTCATCATGCCCGACCGTGGTGCAGCGCACCGCCACCGGTTCCTGCATCTGAAGAGTGCCATACACAGCTTTCGAAGATTTGAATCAGAAGAGAGCTTTGCGCTCTCAAGCTTGCTAAATCGTGCTCCTGCTGCAGTACTGCCCGTAGTTGGTTGTTCGTTCGTGTTGTGTGTGTGTGTGTGGGGATTGAAGTTTGAGACTTGCGCCCCTGTGCATATTCGAGTGCAAATCCCGCTATGAAGCCTGGGCAGCCAAACAGAACGCAACGCTGCACAACGCTGGAGGCCTGCATGCGGCAGTCCGAGTTCCCACCTCGGTCTTGCACATGCACGAATTCAGCAGTTCTACCGCAACGCTGCTTTATTCTCCTTGATTTCAGGATGCCCTGCAGAAGTTGGAGAACCCGCCGCAGCTGCTTGTGCTGGCCTTGTAACTTATATTTACCTGTCGCCATTGCAAACCATGAGACCGGCTAATAGTGTGAGGTGTTCAATCCGATGCCCGAGCTCAATGTCTCCGTGAGTCCTGGCAAGGCTCGGATGCTGGAGGCTACGCGGGCGAGTGGCTGAGCGACGGACGGTCCGCGTTGAATCCGCGCAGCGAAGCTTCAGACCGGTGTTTGACCCCAGTGGAGCACCCACCCAGGAACGCACGCACTCAGGCTAGCGGACTGTCGGTCGGTCGGTCCGTGTCTGCCTATGCCTGTTTGTTTGTCTGTGTGCTGGTTTGTCGGAGGGAGTTGTCAGTTTGGGAACCCGAACCCTCATTGAGGAAGTAGCCGGGAGCTGTCCCTTTCGCCCTTGGGCACGCACACTTGCAAACCAGGGTTCCAAAGGTACCCGATCGCCTACGATTCAGTCCTAGTCCTAGAACACCTGAGACTCGAGAAGGAGTCCATCCACGATTTGAGAGCAGGACCGGTGCATTTCAGGAGTTTTCGGAAGTGCGATTCAGGAAAAACCGAGGCTCGATCAGAAGCAGCGTGAGTCATTGAGTCATGCCGCCTGCAGTTCTTGCGAATAAAACCCAATGAGGAGGCAAAGCTGTCGTCGTCGTGCCAACATGCAGATCCTGCCTTGTGCTAGAAAGAGGACATGTTGAATTGCCCCCTAGCCTCCCCTCGGCGGACACTCATTGTTTGGCAGAGTCGCGAGCTTCACTCTCTCTCTGATTAGTCTTGCGACAAGCGACAAGCGAGCAGGGAAGTAATGGTTATGAGGTGATTCAGTGTGGAGGCAGCGCAGACACACACTCAAATGTGTATAGTGTATAGTGTATGTCAAGTCAGTAGGGGCAGTCTGTTCCACTTGCTCCTTCAATCCGGAGATCCAGGAAGGGGCAGCAACGGTTTTGATTCACTTGCTATTGACACATGGTCCCTTTAAACGTGACATGTAACTATTGATGGTTTGTAAGTTGAGACTTGGGCCTTCCAGTCAGCATGCTGCTTCTTATTGTTTGCTGTACAACCTGTGAATGTCCAATGTTTGTCTGCATGTCGGCAAGGCTTGCTGTGTAGTGTCATGTGTCTCAAGACTGTGACGATTCGAATAAGACTGAACTTTGGGTGGCATTGGCAGAGTGATCTACATGTAATGCGGGAACGGGTGCTTCATTCACAGCCTGGCGCAGGCATACATGAAGACCAAACCCAACTCTGCCCGCCAGATGACCGTGCAGGGTTTGGCAAGGCATGGTGCTGCAGCAGTCTCACCATGATATGATGCTCCACTGCATGCTCGCCTGAGATACACCGAGCATTTGGTCCCTGCGATCGCCTTCTTCCGACCTGGGCCATTAGGCACAGCCGGCTGTGATTTGCTTGCCACGGAGCTGAATGCCCGGTGTCAGTAGGGGCTTCTGTTTCCGGACCACCTACATTGCCCAACATCGACCACTGCAGTAACCATAACGAGAGCAGCCGCTGATCCGCTCAGCGCCCCAGCATGCAGGTGTTGCATTTGCCCATGCTATGCAGGGCGTAGACCTACCGTTTATGCCAACCCGCCATGTTTGTAGATCGAAGCCGGGCGGATTCCACGTAAATTGGTTTATGAGGTATGATTGGACTCTGATGCATCCTGCTGGTCATTTGCCACCGCACGGCACCTGGAGCTTGCCACAGAAAGCCCTCCACCGCAGTCCCTGCCGACAGGTTTTCGGCGAAGGATTGCGCTGTCGTGGTGCAGGATTCTCCAGCTTGCCAGTCATGGTGAACTGAGAGCTTCAGGAATTTTTTGTGTTGCACGAAACGAGTAAACGGTAGTCAGACCAGCTCGTTTAGCCCTTGCATTTGTCTACTGGTACTTCCCTAAAGTCCTAAAGTCGTCTTCCGCCACGCCGGACATCCGTGACTCGGACAAAGCTACCCTCACAGAGGCTGCCAGCCATGCTCAAGAAACGGAGGGGGAATGCCCGAACTCTAATTCCTCGATGACGACTCTTGCGACACACAAGGCATGTCCAAGCGAAGAATGCGCTTGACAGATCTCTTTGATGCCGAAACTCACATGCCGAAACTCACGGTTTCTGCATGCATCCAGCCACACAAGGTCCGAAGGTTAAACACTCACCACCAAAAAGGAAGACTTTCGGGACAACCCGCCGTGTTGGTCGCGCCCGTGTTGGTGTCTCTGTAGACTGTAGTTGGTCGTTGAGGATCTCACAGGCCCTTGGGCAAGTGCAAGACCTGCGCGAGATGCGTTTCAGTGGTCTTGGGGCGCGTAGCTTTAATATGACCAACCTGGCAGGAATTTTTCGGTAACACTTGGTTCAACTTCTGTGGAAGACCGGATACTGCCCAGCGAGACTCCCAGCACAGCACGTGTGAGTTCATTCCATTGCAGTCGTTTCAATAAAGCTGGCCACGACAGGTATCCAGATGTTTGCAGGGCATTGAGACGGGAGAAAGACCAGCTTTCTTCCCGGCTGGTGGCTCTTTTCCAGAACTTCGAGGACCCCCGCTAAGAGCGACGAAGTTGCATGCACTTCGAGTCTTCGAGTCCTCCTCGAGACAGGACATGGCGCAGGCTCATGAGGCCGCCTCGACTCGAGGGACTCGCACGAGCTGTGACATCGCCTTCGGCCTTCCGTAAAGCGAAGGTCGCCCAAGTGCCGAAGCCTTTGTCTCACACTCCAACTCTCAGGTGCAAAGAGCATCGAAGACGGCAGTAGCACTGCAGTAGCATATTGCGAGTGCCTGTGTGGACTGTAGGTGCTTGAAGATGCAGGGAATTGGATCCTTCGGAAACGTTGTCGGCTGGGAAGTCCTTGCAGAGGCTCTGCCCTGGTAGAGGAAGGACCGGCACTTTTTCTCTGCGGCTTTCCGAAGGTACGAAAGCCCTGCTACATCGTGCTTCTGGTCTTGCGGAGGATCATGGTTGGTTGGAAAAAGGCACGGGTTGTGTCTCGTGTACCTCGCAGCTGTTTCGAATGCCGGGTCAGGGCTACCAAGGGCGCACCTACAAAGTACTTCGCGGGTAGCTGAGCATTCACCGCCTCCTATGGGTCGTGCGCTTCGCCAGCACTCAGCGCTGCTTTGGCAGGTGCAACAGAGCCCCGGCTGCTGACAGGCATACACCAGGCAGTTTCGCTCGCCGATTGGTCATGATTCTGACTCTCCCCTCGAATGCAGCATGCAGGAGGTGAGTTGGGATGAGGTTGACCCCATCACTGTGCAGCCGGACGATGTTGCCCCGTTCCCGGCGGTTCCCGGCGCCTTCCGATTCAGAACCACTGCTTCTTGCGTTAGTGCCCAGGTTGGCTGGCAGATCTTCTTGCAGACAGATGACATTAACAGCCTTAGCATGCATCCAGCTGTGCCGGAAGACGAAGCAGACGAGGCTCACGCGAGCGAATGCGAGCAGTGCTCTTTCGCATGCACTGTTTCCTTGCTGCTATTGCTGTTCCATTGCAGTTTTGCATCGGTGGGCGTGGCTGCGATGAGGCCTCACAACTTTAGTAGATCAGCGGTTGGGAAATGGCTTCCGTGGAAGAAGTATCTCCATTCCCATGTTGAGACATCGCTTTGATGAGGCAGGCCTCTGTGCCTTTGACATTAAGCCTCCAGAGGTGCAAGATCTGCGTGTGCAGAAGGCCCTCCGATGTTTCGTTAGTTGCTGAAGCAGCTTGAACTTGGACAGGTCTCCGTGCGCGTCATGCCACGTCGCTCACGGCAGCAAGCACGACCAAATCCTTTCTTCGACGCCCGTGGCCCGTGGACATGTTCAATGCTTGCCACTTGCCATGTGCACATCAACGCATCATGCTTGCGACTACTTCCGGTGCAGGTGATGCCCGCCCTAAACATCTCGGAGTATGTTGACGCCAGCACGACATACGAGGCATGGCTTTGCACTCTTGTGTAGCCACACTGGAGCGCCGCCTTAGAGTGCTTCTGGGGTGCCGCGTCAAAGTGGCTCTCCGTTTGTCTGTTGATCTGAAGGATATGTTGTAGCTGATCACGGTGACCCTCGCATCCTTAGATATTCCGCAGTAACAGAGCTTGGCGAGGGGCGTAGGGCGGGATATCTGCAGAAGATGGTCTGGTGATGTCTGGTGCAAGAATCCGAGCCGAGCGAGAATTTGACGCCGTGTTAGAGCTTACAAAGTCATGGTATGCACCGCACGGAACTGTCGCGGTGTGCTGAAGTCGCTGTCCTTCAGGAGCTTATGACCATAAGACAAAAGCTTGTCAAGAGCTGAGATCAGCAAAGCTGAACTGCCCAGTTCAATACGAGCAAGCTAGTTCCCCTCGTCGCATCAGGACCATTCTGACTTGGGCATGTTCGAGGACCGTCGCTCCATCAACAAGTCGTGAGAGCAAGAGCATTGTAGAAGGACAAGATCCGCTTGCGAACAGAACTTTTGCCTGCAGCCGGAGTTCTCGCCACACCGAGACCCCGTCTTGGTGAGCACCGTGCGAATGGTGCGCAGCATCGCGCACACTTAGGCATCCACCTGTCGAACACCGACTTCAACATTGCCTACTTGATAGAAGGGCGACAGAGCTATGTGGTGCGCGGCGGCTGATTGCTGTTCGCAACAGTCGATTGTAGATGTCCCGTGCAGACCTGGCCAGGTTAAGCCTTCGCACATGTCCGAGTCGCAGAACGTTTTCGTTATGCACAATGGCCTGGGCCTGGATCGACACAGACAGCAGTGGTGGCATGCGGTGCCGCATGAGGCAACCAGGTTCGCTTCTGTAGCCTAGAACCAGGTATGAATCTGCTGCGACAAGCTTGGGGCTGGCCTGGGACGTCATCGATAGAGGAAATTCAGGCACCACGGGGCGGGGCCGGGGCACTTGACTTGCGTTTCGAATGGAGAAGGAGGAGATAGGAGAAGACTGACAGGCTGCCGTACACCAGTTTTCTGAGCAGTCGGCGCTGGACTGGGAGCCACCCGACGCAAAAAATCACAGACAGTGTTGTCGTGATGCTGGTCCATCAGCAGGTGCAAGGCACTGGTGGCAAGCAAGCCTGGAGTCATCGTGGAAGAGCTGGTCCTCGCTGAGGCGTCTGAGAGATCCTTGTAAGAGCAGAGTCGTAGCAGCTGCTCGGTGCTTGCGCTGGCAATGCGCAGGTCGGCGGGCGGCTGGCGGTGGACGAATTCAAGCCTGGGCCTCGCTCCAGCCCTCGGCAGGCCTCGGCAGCCCTGGGCCCTGGGCTCGCCAGGTTTTACACCGTCTTTGGCAAAGTGGCTTTCGGAGAGGCTGTGTATGGGGGAAGCAGATTCTAAACGGTCCGAGTGGCCCAGCGCCAAACGGACGGGAAGCTTCCTGGCGAGGAGATCTTCTCTTCCGCGGGCACTGTCATGGAGATTGACCGCGATGGGCAGATCTTAACAAACAAGGCTCCCAGTGTCAGCCGAACCGAAGCCTGGTAACCATGTTTTCTGGCGCCAGATGGAGTGCCCACCTTTTTGTGTGCGGCCCTGCTACACGGAAATGGTGGAGATTGCCGAGAAGGCATCTTAAGACTCTTAAGCTTGGCTTCGTGCAGCGAGGGCTGACTACATGCAGGGATTCAGTGCGTTTCACAGTGCTGCCTGCTGGCCAGGTGGCAACCCATGCAAGAGCTGACTTTCTGCGCGTGGATGTGCTAGACTCCGCCCCAGTAGCATCCATATGCAGTATGCACAAAGGGTGATGGAAAGCAATCGCTAATTACGAGGTTCAAGGAAGCTGCAGTGGCCTTTACGTGAGTGAGGCGGGCTGTAGCGGCGAGAGCGAGGGCCATTGCGGTGGTAAGAGGGTTTCTGTGGATGATCGCTGCTTCGGGAATAAATACAAGTAGCTTTTAGTTGAGATTTCTGTTGAAATGTTCCCTCTGGGGGCTGCTCCGCCCAGTGTTTCACTCTTGGACTCACTTGCGTGCGACGGTATTGGTGCGTCAGCTCTTTAATAGAATGAAGATAGAAGAGAGACGCAGTGATTGGAAACTGCAGATTCTCTGCGCAGGTTTCTGAGTGCGCGCGCAAGAGTGGGTGATGGGCGGGGGGGTTCGCTGTGCAGTCCCGTCCTTAGTGGCAAGGTCTTCGGTGGTCTCCAAACCCGAACTGGTCGTACCGACGCCCCGGTAGGTGCAGCAACGCTCGGGAGATGTATAGAGTATAGACGGCCATCCGTGCTTCTGTGCCTTTGAGAGCCTTTTTGAAGAAGAGGGGCAGAGGGAGGGAGGGAGAGGAGGGAGACATAGAGTGAGTGAGGGAGGGATGGACCACTCCTACTGGTTTGCGTGTCATACCCTTCGTCCTGAGTGGGTGGCAGGTGGAGCTTTTTCCTGCAAGTGATTTCAGTCCCTTCCTGAAGGCCTCGCTGGCACAAGTGACGATCCTTGCTGGTGCTGGATGTGTGTTGCGCCGCACCTATCAGGAAGCTGTTGCGGCGCGATGGCGCGAGGGCTATGCTGCCAGAGCCCAAGGTTGTCTGAGTCACACGGTGCGATGTGCAAGACACAGCAAGGTCTAAGTGGGCTGGCGGGGAACATCCGAGAAGAGGTTTCACTGTCTGCGGCCATGTAGTCGTTTTCTCGAAATGCCGCAAGCGTGCCGTTAGTTACTTTCCAGGTCTAGCCTCTGTGCTTTATGATTGGTCAACCGTGGCACGCAGCACAATATTCGGTGCATCCTACACTGCAACATCATACTGTATACGGCAGATAGAAAAGAGCTGGGCCGTGCTTTGTCGGAGAACAACTCCCCCCGACTCGGCATGACTGCGTGACTCCGTCATGCAGCCGTTGCTCGCTGCGTGGGGGGGTGCCTTCGCAGCGCGATCGCGATGGCAGAGCCTGTCACGCTTCAGGCGAGTGCGCATGAAGTGTGCGCTGAAGAAAGAAGTCGCAGCCAACACTTCCGCAGGTGGAGGTCCCGGAAGGAATAGGACCAGGCCTGCGTCCACTTTGGAGGGCTGCTCCTTTTGTCAACCCCCTGATGCCTTTTTCCAGACCGCACGCTTGGTCTGTGTTGTTTTCGACCCCGACATGTCTTTTTTTCGACCTCCAGTTTTTTTCAACCCCGCTACGGGGTCCAAGAAAACACCACAGTCTTTTTCGACCTCCATGCTCTGATTTAAGCAATCTTTTCTCGGCCCCGAAATCTCTCATAGCTGGCCGGGTCTTATCCGAACCCCAGGGCATCTTTTTGATTTTCCCTCCAGGGTCTGTTTACCCAGAGCCGCACACACATGACATGATAACAATACAAGAGAGGGCACCGAAAGCGTTACATGATCAAGCCTTGGACTGTTGGCTCGGGCTTAGGGGGATGGAGCTGATGGTCAGGTGCTTGTTTTGTGGTGGCAGTGGTTGTTTTGGCTATTAAACTTGCTGTGTCTGAAAAACAACCACCGAGGTGAATCGTGTGGCTTCTCCTTGTTGTTTGTTGGAGAAGACGTTCCTTCGCTTTTGACTCCCTTAAAGCGAATTCGTGTGGCTTCTCCTTCTTGTGTGTTGGAGAAGGCGTCTGAATTCAATTCTTCGCTGTAGAAACGCCATGAGCGGCAAGTTTGCGGACCTCTTTCATTGTAATCGTGATAGGCCAAGGTTCACGATTTCGAGAAACTGCCATGGACGAGCCAGCGCTTGTCGTTTTGCATTGCAGTCTTTTTCGGTATGTCTCCTCCTTGATGTCACTTCCACAAGGTCAGATGCCTGCATGCACACCAGAAAACCGTCTCAGCAGCCCATGACGACTGTCGTTTTCCAGGCCACAGCTTGTGGTTTGCAAAAAAGACAAATCATTTTTCCGGACCACCGAATTCTTTTTGAAGGAAAAACATACGATGTGGTCTGGAAAAAGGTTAGGGGCGGACTGGAAAAAGACCAGCGGCACTGTGGGAACAGGCTTTATGCAGCATTTCCAGGTGCGAACTTCAACGTCAGCACCCCGGATGGTCAGGTGCCGGCGCCCGGTGAGAAAGATGTGATACGATGTGTTGTGGACAAAGGCCAATCGGCAGGTCATTTGGCTCTTATCGGCAGCCAGGTCTGCTCATGAGGGAGAGCCATGTGCAAAGGGGCTGCTGGTGGCGGCCGTGGCAGACGGAGTCCTGAAGGCGAACTTACTGCTGCCATTCAGAGCGCCGGCAGAGGCAGCCACTGGCAGCGTGTCTTGAAGCTGCTCGCTGAAAGCACATCGCCCCCGGAAACAGCTCCAGTCCCGGCTCCTTAGCAAGACTTGGGGTTCTGACGAGAACGGGTACCATGCAAAGTCTCAATCTTCTGAACCCTGCAGCGGTGCGCTCGCGATCTATGGCCGGAAGGTTGGGCAGATGTTCTGTGAGTAAGTGCTCACTGCATCGTCTTCGAAGTAGTCTGGGAAGATAGCGGCAGAATTAAAGGGCTCACAACTCATTGTGAACCTCTCGCTTAGGATTTGATCTGCTTCGGTGCAGCACTTTCGACTGTCGGCAAGGCGGGGCGGTAGTCACACACCTGGGCTGGCGACGCTGAGCTTCCATAGTTGTTTTGGAGAGGCAAAAGCATGGGAGGCGACCGTGCTCATATTGAGAATCATGAAGGATGCGGGCGTGGAGTGCGACACGCAGGGTGCTTTCGACTGTGGTTGGTTTTAGAACTTAAAACCCGCTGCACCCAACCTCTGACGCACAGGTTTGAATGCGGTACTGAACGCCTGCAGCAAGAGCACTGCATGGGAGGCAGCACTCGGCGTGAGGCCGCCGGGCCGCTGTACTGGGGTGAGGGGGGAGGGGAGATGAGGCGAGTGCTCCTCGCGACGACGTCGCAACGCGTTTTGAAGCTCTGTGAGAGCTTTTGTGCCAGTCTGTGCCTGGTGAAGGTGGCGTTTTGGAAGTTTGGCCAACACGATGAGCGACGGAATGGTCATGAACGCGCTCGCCAAGGCAGAGACCTAAGAGACCTCCGCGTAAAGCATGTGAAGTTGTTTTGAGCTTTAGCTGGAAATTTCATCAATCAGGTCTGAAACATGCTGTGTCAATCACACATAAGTCACATAAGTGGACTGCTTCATGCTTGTTACTGTTGTTCACGTCAGTTCAAGCAGAAAGTCCACGCAGTGTCTTCTGTACCAGTAGTTGTCATTCGCAACGCTGTGGATCTCAGGCCGCTCAATGGACTATGGCACTGGCCTTGCTATGGGAGCCAGGGTTACAGGCAGGTACAGCTTGGCAACAATCCTGAGTCCGTTTCGCAGCTCTTACAAGCCTGTACATGATGATGCAGGCAAATACCATAATTTTCAGCTCTGCTATCAGCACCATGGTTGCACAGCTTTGAAGAGTGTGCATGGAAGAAGGTGCAAGCACCTCATGTTTGCGAAGATCCAGGTGCGTTCGCGGCTGATGGCAGGTGGAGACTGGCCCTGGCCACACTCGACACCATGAGGGAGCAGTTTGTAGAGACAAACGACATCACAATGAATGCCGTGCCGAGCTTTGCAGCAAGTCTGTTGCAGTGTTGGAGCGACCGAACCACTGCGAAATGCGCGGCAAAGGCGATCTTTGCTTGTGTCAATGCTCGCCGTTGGGAGGAAGCACTGCGCCTTCTTGCAGACACGTCTAGACTCAGGACAAGGGAGCGGCATGAGCTTTGGAACATCTAGATACTCTAGAATCTACATTCCGAAACTGTGGTCCACAACACGACGATTGCAGGTTGGCGACAAGGATTTCCTACAGTTCTGCAATCAGTGCTTGTGAGCATGCAGGGAGGCGGATCTTTCCAGTCGCAGATCATGCAAAGCTGATCTCCTGGACGGTGGTAGCTGGTACCATGGCAGTGTCCGTCACCTGACTCTGGTTTCTCAACCTGCTCATGGTGTGTGTTGAGAACTGTTCATGTTGCCCGTGGCCCGTGCAGATGGGACGTCGCTTTGGCATTGCTGCAACGACTTGGCGACGCACACCTGCAGACCAATGCTATTTGCAACGAGTCTGCAGTACTGTCACAGAGTTTACATGATTCTGGAATCCTGGGCCGAATGTAAATCATATGGAGTTCTGGAGCTCATTTTCTTGAGCAGTGTTGCTTAAGTTAGATATTCCGTCGCAAGTCTGAAGAGCGGAACATGTCTCGTCTGCTCCCTGAACGGGAAGGGTCGTGGGAGAGAAGGCCACTCTAAAGTAGACATACAGCCGACGAAGTAGATTTCAGACGATGATGCACATGGACTCGTGGCCTTTGCTGATTTTGAGCCGTGAGTTCTGTGCTTGACTAACCCTCAGCAGGAACCGGGAGCGTCGCCGGCTCGAGAGTTGGTCTGTAGTTCTGTACTTCGTTTCTGCAAAGTTGTCAAAAGGCCATCTTATCGTCCAATGATTTTCGTGCTCATCTGGCCCAACGTCCGAAGAACAGGCCATGTTCGTGCCTAATCAGCACAAGGCTCCTCCCCTTCATTCTCTCATTTCTCTCATAAATGCAAGAGCGCTGTAACAGCGACGAAAGAGGGCGGGCCTGTGTCACGCTTCGCCTAGGCTTTGGAGCTGCACTCAGCTCCTGCGTTCGGCGTGGCAGCTGGCACGCCGGACTGGCCCTGCTTGACTCAATGTCATCTGACAATGCCATCGCTGACACCACCAGCTTCTTGGCTCCTTACACCTATTTTTGCAACAGGGTGTCGGCGGATTCGAAGCTTTGGTTGCCGACAGCCCGGCTCAGTGACTTGTAATTATGCACAAATAAAAGAAGCGTTCAGAAAACCGGGTGCTTGGGGACGCACGCAGAGTTAACCTGTTTGGCCAAGTGCATACCTTGACAAGAGACCGTGACGGTAGCACAAGGCGCATTGCATGCATTGCAAGGATCGGTGCAATATTGGCACGTGTTTTCTTTTGTGCTCCTGGTTACAGTTACGACAGTTACGTATGAGATGAAATGGCGGTGTATGTGCTGAAAGAACAGTCGCGGCAGTAGCTTCGCTCCTCGTCTTCGGAGATTTCGTTGTTTGGCTGACCTCATCTTTCCTTCTTGCTAGGCTCAATGCAATCCTGCAGCAGGTATCAGCTCCGCCATCAGCGCATGCGAAAATGCCGGCAAGTGGGGTGCAGCATGGCGCTTGTTGGCACAGATGACAGCAAATGGGTCCAGGAGGCTGTCGTCTTGACAGTCCAGATTTTTTTCCTTCGACAAGCAGAAAACAGCGATGCATGTGCGCAGGGACACGATTGCCTACAATGCAGCCGTCAACTCTTGTGAAGCGAGCCCCTCCCTCGGTGATTCTTGTGTCAAAAAAGAGGCAGCGCAGCGCCTGTCCGCACCAGGCTTACAATGGACCAGATCCGTTGAACTCTATGCCAGCATGGGCAGCGACGCCGTTGCCCGGTCTCGGACAGAAGAACGGCCGGTGTACTCATAAATTGAGAAAGATCAGGTTCAACCTTCGTCTTCAACATTCAACGCATTGCTCAACGGATTTCATGCGTCCTGGGTCGCGGCCGCGCCCTTGCAGCACAGTTTGAGTTCGTGGTGTACTGAGCGATGCATTTTGTAGCGTTGTGTGAGGCATCGCAGCTGGGCAGGAGCTCAGGCGGTCTGGGAAACCCAAGCTGGGCACAGGCACTGACAGGCACTGTACTTCTCCACCGACCTTGCCTGGGGTACTCGTATCCCAAGCGCAGGCAGTGGCGGTTCTCCACAACATGTTTGGGAAAAGGTTGTGGCTGAACGGTGTCCATGCTGCTTAGCTGACATTCGAGCAGCATTGCAGTCGAATTCCAACTGTGTTGAGGGGAGATTGGAGAGTGATGGATACTGCGACTCTCGATTAGGCTGGCCTTTGCATCGACATTGCGATGAAGGCCGATCATCTTGGACGTTCCACTGTGGCATGCTGTGGCCATGGCACGAGCCTTCATGATGCAGACATGATGGTTTGTGCTTTCGTCCCTACTAACACTGTGGCGCATGTGTTCTTGTTTTTTGTTGTGTCTGTCTGTCTGTCTGCCTGTATGTCTGTGTGTCTCTGTCTGTGTCTCTGTGTGTGTGTGTGTCCGTGTCTGTCTGTCTCTGTGTGTGTCTGAATTTTTCATTACGACGACCTGCGATTCATCCTGGAGAATCTGGTTTCCTGAGCGTCAACCTGTCCGGCGTGTGGTCGCCTGCTGCCATCTGCTGCATGTTTCCCATGCCAAAGCTTCAATGATCCGTGCGTCCCAAGAGCAGGAAGTCGACGTGTCAACTGCGCACGGGCTTGGCCAGCAGTTCGCGCAACAGTGGGTCCAACAGGCGGAGCTTCCTGCTGCAGTCTCAGATTGGAGCTTGATGGGTGCGAATATATATAGTGTAAGCCTAAGCATTATCCTCCGACGCGGTAGATTACAATACTGAGTATTCCCGGAGTAAGAGCTTGTCGAATTTATTGTTCATCCAGAATCTGTTCAGGCTTCCATGTTAAATCTTTGCATGCTGTCAGAAATTCCTGAATAACCTGTGTCGGGTGCTTTTGTTTGTTGATTTTGCAGTGCTGCCGTGATTCATGCTGTGCTTGCACACACATGCAAACGCTGTTTGAAAGACAGCCATACTTGAGGCCAGAATCGCTAACGTTGCCTGCAGGTGCAAGAAGCGCATACTCTGTTGATATGCCGGTGTAGCCTTGTACGACTTTCCAGAAGGGCATGGCCCGAGCAGGCGAAACGATCATGGAAGCGCTGCACGTATCCCGTAGGACGCAAGACGATCAACATGCTGACAACATTTGCCGCCAACGTAAACTAGATGCTTAGAGTGTAGATTTGCGAGTGATTGCTCGTTTGGAATTTCAAGCATTAGGCTGCCTCGGTATCACTTCCGCATCGTGACGATGTTCTCCTCTCAGCTCCAGGCAAGTACATGCTGTTGGAGGCCCATGGCAGAGAGACACAAGAGAGTGCCAAAGCTAACGCCAGGAATCGTGGCTGTTGCCAAGCCACCCGGCATCGCGAGCCAAGATATGTCTGGGCCCGAGCATTTCGTGGGTCATCTTGAAGTAGCTACTTTCGCAAGTCAGGCTGGCCGACTTGCAGAAAGCCAGCAAGCAGAAGTTGACTACTGTGCCAGTCTCCCAGAGCATGCTACTATCTCGTAGCATCTCTCCTCTCTCTTCTCTTCTGCCTGTGTTTTGGCCAGAAGCTTCGCGGTCTCAGAGTAAGGTCTCGGTTGGACCTTCCAACATCGGGTGTGCTGGTCGCTGCAGTCGGGGACGAAGACTCCGCTGCCGCTAAATGGCTGCAGGCGGCCCGCCCCGCATTCTCAGACGGGACAGTTCGAAATTGAGAGCGCCGCAGGCCCAATTTTCTGGTCGGCCGCTTCGCATGCAAAATTCAGCAGATGTCCCGGAGCTTTTCTGGAAGCGGGAGGAGCTGAGGTTGGTCTCAAAGGAGTATCTATGTTTGTGCCATTCGGAGCCCCCAGCGCCGGAGTTCGAAGTGTCCACTCCACTCCGAGTGGTGACAGTGCCTTTGATCTGATAATGTCTTGCAGCTCGGTTTGTTTTCGATAGGATGTGCTCAAATCTGACCCAAATCTGGCCGATGCTGAGATGGGACCGATGGACGACGAGAAGACGCGAGTTTTTGTGGACCATAAGGGGCGAGAAGCATACACGCGCTGCAAAGCCTTAGCGGTACAGGAAGTATGTTCGCCAGCTGGCAGACTGCGCTTGAGTTTGCTTCGGGTCTTCCCGCGCACAGGCGCTGTGTGTGGATTAACTGAAGATACTGAAGTAATCAAACTGGTCCAAATTGGCAGAAGGAGTGGCAACCCATGCATCGCCTGTTGAATCTGTCAGGCAGAACGCACCAAATACGAGCCCACTTAGCGAGCATTGGCCTTCCGCTTTTCGGGGACACCATCTATGGCAAGTTCGTCACGCAGGTCTCTGTGACTTCGAATTCAGTCAACCCACTGCCCCAGTCCAATTTCCACGATCCTTCCAAGAAGCCTGAGCTGTTACAGGACATGGCTAATTCGGTGCCTGGCCTGCGAGACTACGCTGACAGACTGTTCCTGCATTGCCGGCGGCAATCTCTTCTGAGTTTGGATGGAAAGCAGCTGGAATTAGAGGCGGGGCTCGGGTGAGTGTCCTGGACCTGCGTATTCTTGCGTAAAGGAGCTTGGTCCATGAGGATGCGATATCGTGTGCATCTGGTGAACCCACTCAATGGAGGGTCACCACTTCTGGCCTCGTCGCACCTCCACCACAGGGCTGTGGGAAGCCTGCTCCCGAAACGGTACCCCTTTTTCGTTGCCGCTTCTGCAAAGTGAAGGGAAGCAGTTTCTGCATTCACTCAGCGATGAAGCAATCACAGAAAATTTGCCAATGGCCCCGAACATCTTATCAGAGCCGGTTGCTCTTTTCTTGCTGCAAGTGGGCCTGAAGAGCCTTGATCATGTTGCAGAACAGAGCTCGGTAAAGAGACCGGCAGATGATTATCGCAGAACAGCTTCGGCACTGCTTTTCTGTTGTCAGGCGCCCTTGCCTGATGACTTGATGACGATCCTTGCGATCCTGGGCCCTGAAGTTGATTGGATGGCGCTGATGGAGAGAGCCAAAAGCAGCGTCTGCTCTGCTTTGTGCTTCGTTCTTCTTCTCGTGCATTAGGACCGGGAGCTCGCTGCAGGTGCTACAACTCACCTGTCCAGATGAAGTCGGCCCTGGGATGCTAGTCTCCTTCTCGTGAGCCATGCATGCCACGCCCACTCTGTGCATGGACTCAGCTTGCATTCGACCATGCAAGGTACTATCCCATCGAGGAGAGGCCAGAGGAATGTGCCACGGGCAACTTGGCCGCAGCCTGGAGTCCCGTTGTACTGCTCAAATCACCCTCATCTGCCAGGAGTTGATATCCACGATGATGATAGGGCCCGGCTTGAGGAGGGAGCAGCTATTGCTGCAGAAGCGGGCTTAGCGGTCGTGAGGCTTCCCGCTGTCTCTGAAGCACAAAGTTCGGTCAAGATCGCCCAAGGCCAGGCAAGAAGAGCTGAGCGCTCAAGGGGCCCTTGCCTGAGCACACGTTGACTTGCACGGCTTCGTGGTCACCGTCGCTGTAAGGTCGTCATGGCAGTACCCCCTCCTCCTATCGGAGAGTTCACGGGTTTTTCCTATCCTGCGGCCTCTTTTGCTTCAGGCGGTCGGGCATGGTCGGGCTTCCAGATTCCAAGCTGTGAGCCTGCGCAGGTCAAAATGCCATAGTCACCCGATCCAGCGGAGAGGCCCGGAGAAAAGGCGCTGGGCCCTGCCTTTGTCGCCTCCATGACACGACTGGCGAAGGAGTCCGGTTGCTACATCTTGGAGGCACTTGTAGCTGATGAGGGCAGAGGCATGGTGGAGCGATCATGGCATGCGGCAGGTTTTCCTCACCGCCCTCGGGCCTTTGTACACCGTGTATTTAGGCGATGTTCTAAGCTCTTGAGAGAGAGAGAGAGAGAGAGAGAGAGAGAGAGACCAGATATGCAGTTCCAACGCCGAGGCCAAGCGGAAGACGGAAGTTATATCACAAAGAATTGTGAAGAGGCAGATCTGCGGCCGTGTCTCGACCACACTCCGAGAGCCGAGACATTGCTAATTCTCGTGCCCGCTTTTATAAGGTACCCGGTCACCTGATGCCCATGATGCCCCAGACAGATCATCTTTGGCGATGGGACCGGGCTTGGCCGGGCCAAGATGCCAAAACATACTGCCACAGGCACAGTTACTCAGTTTGCGTATCACCTGATCATGAACCGGGGAGGCTAAAGAGCGCCCACCACAAAGCACGGAAAAGGGGCAGAGGGTCTGCTGGTTATTGTTGTTCTGTCTTTCAGGCTTCCGGTTTATCATGTTGCGGAGAAGTGGCCGACCGCGTTGCAACAGCCACAAGCCCTTTCAATTGTGTATAGAGGACCTGGATGTGGGCGCAACGCTTTGTAAACCTGGTACTTGCCCGCGGTTATTCAAATTACGCGTCCGGCTTCAGATTCAGGGCGGATGCGATCTAGGACTTCGTTGTGAGCGGCTCAGCAGTGTATGATCTGGACTTTCGGAGTTGAGGGATCAGAAACGGATGTGGCTGGGCTCTTCGAGCAAGAGCACATCGCTGTTTCATCGGATGCAGTCTTCGTGTAATTATGGTAGGTGCATCCACGCGGCCACGACCGCAGGAGCAGTTCTGTCCAAAGACCCTGGCAGGGACGCCAGTCGCACTGCACGGCATTGCTTTCGCAGCCTTGCTCCAAACAGAGTTCATGTCAAGCTTCATGATAATCTGCTTTGTCACTGCTTGTTCCTGATCATGAAGCGCAGATTGACATTGATCTTGAAGTAGAATGACTTCTAGAGCGATTGTGCTTCGAGAAAGAATGAACGAGAGCAAGCAAGCGCAAAACCCTTTCCGCTTCGCACTCGGGGTTGGGGAAGGGCTACGGTGGTTGTCGTTGGGTGTCAGAGAGGACTCTGCGGCCATGGCGGCCATGGCGCTGCTCCGAAGACCAATTCCTGTGGCACGGGGCACGCTGGGGACGCGTTTGGCATCCACAGCTACAAGGGTTGGTGTCGTGGGCTGTGGGCAGACCTGGGCTCAGCTCTTAGGAGTTCAGGAATTTCGCAATCCTCAACATCCGTAAGCACAAGCCCTCCTTCCTGTTACTTGTACCTGAGTTTGAGCGAACCACTTGATCTGTAAATTAGGAACGTTGGAACCGGAGGTCCACGACACCCAATGCAGTTGCACAAGCATGCATGTTCGGTGCCAGAAAACTTAAACTCATATACCTGAGTTACCTGAGATCAACTGAGCTCTTCATAGACGGACCTCGAGACTCGTGAAGAGGCCCAGTTCGGGAGTGTGTGCCCAGCCTCTGCCAAGGATGGGCACCGGAATCGCGATAGTTGCCGTAGCTCGGTTAAACGCTTGGACTTAGACGGTTTGCGGGTCACGTCACATTTGCCGCACCCAGGCGGCGCACGCAGGAGCGGAGGTTGTTGGCATGGACGCCTTTCCCGCCAGTCTCGAGCGCAGCAAAGCCTTCGTACATGACTGGGCGGAGAAGGAGGCTGGAAGCCAATAGCATAGCCGACGACGCGCATCATCAGATTGCAGGTCAAAAAAGGACGAATGTCAGATTCCGAGGCCGTTTCAGAAGCAGTGGCTCTCGGCTTTACTGTTGTCTTGGAGGCAGAGAGCTTCCACAAGCGCTTCAGCTTCGTCGACCTTGCGGATGCCTCGAAGATGTCAGAGGCGGTCCCCAGGATGGACTTCCTTATCGAGGCCCGGAGGTCGTTGAGCCGTGCTGTGGCTTCCCTCTGTATTATTATCCTTGGAAAGAAGCGGCATAGGGCTTCGAGCGCTTGAGGCCGTCAGCGAAGACTTCGAGACCAAGCAGTCTTGCTTCAGCGTTTTGCAGGTGCTTTGGCTGTCGAGAGACGAAGCTTGCTGTTTTGAGACTGGCGAGGCAGCTGGGCTTCAGGAGCGAAGCGTGCTGGCAAGCAACACATCCTCCATTTCAATCACCAAGCTCGCGGCAAAGGTTACCAGGCCCATGTGCAACTGAAACTGATGTTATGCTCAGCCACATCGTTTGCGGCACAGGCCTGAGAGGGTCATCGGTTGCTTGGCTGGACAGGAGTTGCAGAGCTTGTGCGAAGTCCTTCCAGGAGTGCTAGCTGCCTCGCTGAGGAATGCATTTCATGCCCGGGGCCGACAGTCGTGTTTCAGCCTTTGTTCTGATGGCTGAGCTGCAAGTCTAAGGAACCCCGTCCCGGTGATGCCCTTGGTCGAGGTGATTCGAGGCTTAAGGACAGACGATGAAACGCTGGACACCACGCTGCAGCTCTGCCGAGCAATGAAGAAGGCACCATGAGCTGCATGCAGTTCCTAGTTGGTTCTTTGCCCAGTGCTCTTAGGAGCACTCGACAAGCGCAGATCGGCCAGGACGGCAAACCATTTCCGGAGCATTCTCAAGCTGAAGTAGGGAGGGTGTTCGCAAAGGCAGAAAACAGTGGTTGCATGCGCAGGTTTCATAGCCAACCGCATTCTGATGCCGTACATCAACGAGGCAGGCACCGTCTCATAGCAGCGAAAGCACTTGCCGTCTGGCTTCCAAATTGCACAGAGGCGGTCTTTGCTCTGCAAGAAAGCATTGGAACTGCCGAGGTGAGATTCGATTTAGGTGATCCCAGAAGTGCTTTGGAACTGGGAGGGCATATTTTTTCGGTCCTTTTTTTTTTGGCCCTCACGTCCTGTTATTTACACACGATGCCGGCTGAATGTGTCGCCCGGCTGTGGTGCCGCGTCCCATTTTCCGCACAATGGTGGTGGTGGTGGTGGTGGTGGCGCTGGTGCTGGTGCTGGTGCTGGTGCTGGTGCTGGTGCTGGTGCT